CCCCACCTCCCACGCCCCACCTCCCACGCCTCGCCCCTCCCCCACCCTCCCACGCCCCTCCCACCTCCCTCCCCTCTACCCCCCCCCCCCTAAAACCCACACACACACACACATACATCCACACCCACACACACCTCGTCGATGACCAGCAGCTCGGCCTGCGCCAGCTTGGCGGCGTGCTGCGGCTGGATGTACTGCACCGTCTGGCGGTGGGTCTTATACACGTTGACGCGCACGATGGCCTTGCCAAAGGCGGGGTTGGTGCTCTCGACCAGATCGTAGTCCAGGTGCTCCTTGTAGTCCAGGTCGTCAAGGCCCTTGAAGATGAACTCGAACAGGGTGCGCAGGTTCTCGGGGCTGGGGGCGGTGACGAAGATGTTGCTGTACCCCAGCGCCAGCGCGCCGGCGATGGCCAGGCCCAGGGACGCGGACTGGGAGCGGTGGATGGGTGGGCAGGTGGGTGTGGGGTGGACTGAGGGTATGCTGAGGGCGCAACAGGGACCATGTCATGCTGTTCGTCTCTCCCTCATTGGGACACTAGTATCCAGCAACAATGCAAGGCCATGCTGCAGGTTCAGCCGCAGGCCGGCCAAGGCAACGCAGCTCCACACCGGCTGGAATTCCCTGCCCCCAACAAGACCCATAGCAGGGACCCACGCAGAGTCCAGACCCTCCGCGGCGCGCCTCGGCAACACACCTTCCCGCGCCCTCGGGCGGCCGTCAGCGCCACCGTGGAACGCAGCGTCTTCTCGCTGGCGGCGTCCAGGAAGGTCGCGACGGCCCGCGCCTGGTCCAGCGTGCGGCACCGGCCCACCAGCGCCCCGGCCGGCTGGGTGTCGGCCAGGCTCTCCACCAGCTCCCGGAGCTCCGAGGTTCCCGCCGCCTCGGCGCCCACCGACGCGGACAAGGGGTGGATGTTTTGCACCTGAGGGGGCGATGTGTGAGGGGACCAGGGTGTCCGGAGGCATGATCTTGCCAGCAGGCAGCTCTGCTGTCGAGGATGATCAAGCACGGCTGCACCTGCCACGCAACGCGGTGCCTGGTCCAGGCCCCCACTTGGTCAGCTGCACCCCATCATAACACAGCATGCACCCTGGCTTCCCCATTAATATGATCTGCAGCAAACCTGGGTGGAGGTGGGCAGGATGTTGAGCTCATCGTCCATGAGGATGCAATTGGGGCAGGATGCCAGGCTCAGCACCAGGCGCTCATTAAAGCGGCCTGCAGAAGGGAGGGATAGGGGTTGAGAATATCGAGCAAGACGGGCGGGACCCCTCAGAGACCTCAAACTATGTTGTATAGCAGGGGTCGTAGGGTGATGCCCATGTGGCAGCGGCCATGCGCAGCGTTACCAGCCAGGCTTCGGGTCCCACTGGGGGCATTGGGTTCAGATGCCAAGACTCCACCCCTTTCAGACCATGCCTCCCCATTACCACCCCCCACACGCCCCCTCACCCACCCACCCTTCACTTCCTGGTGGCTCTCGGTCCTCAGCCGGGAGTGGACGTCCATGGTCAGGGAGTACAGCTGGCTCAGCGACTCCAGCGTGGACAGCAGGAGCACGATGCAGCCCCCGCCCTCCACCGTCTCCACCGTCCGCGCGAGCAGGTTGGGGGTCAGGGCCTCAAAGTCCTGAAGGACCAGCATGCCGTATGTGTTTCCCAGCACCTTGTGCGTCTCAGAGTAGTAGCAATACCGGATGTTGGTGGAGGCCTGAGTGGGGAGGGGGGGTCAGTGGGGAGCGGCCATGAGGGGGGGAAGCGGGGGTTTACTGTTCCAGGCAGGCCTGGGAGGAGCCTTGGGGGCAGTGGCTGCATGGGTCACCTCCAGCCATCCCTAGCGCATCTCACATCCCACTACAAGCCTTCTTACTGACCACAAAGAGGGAGAAGGGGTCTTCCTTCTCGGGGTCAAGCAGACCACGCTGGGACATCTTCTGGATCTGGCGCATGCGCTTCTTGCGGTGGCTGCATGGTGAGGAAGGGGGGCCGCTCTGCGCAAGGCACCCAGCCGACCAGGCAAAACGACGGGCGGCAGACGGCAGCAGATGCCGCCTGGCCAGACGCATTTGCGGGCACATTGCCCTTGGCCCTTTCTCCGAATCCGCTTGGGCCTTGTCTAGCATGGTTCGCACCTGGACAAGTACAGGTCCTTCTTGTAGCACCACAGGACCGACGGCCGGGCCTTGACCACGGTCTTGGACAGCATGTAGTGCAAGTTGACGACCTGGGCATCCAGCACAGGGTCATCGGAGGTTGAGTATAGTCCCGCATCGACGAGGGAAAAGCTGTCCCTCATCCTCATGCCGCATGGCCTTGCCGCTGCACGCCCTCACGCCTTCCTCACTCGCCTGGTCCCTCCCCTTGTCGCCCACGATGATGTACAGCGACCTCTGGCGCGTCTTCACGCAGTTCTCCACCAGTGTGCGGATGCGGGAATCCACTTTCTTCCTCATGGTGCACGACGACCTTGAGCGGGTGGTGCCGGAGATGCTACAGGGGTGAGGGCGGGGCCATGCGCTTCCTCGGAGCCGAGTGTCACGAGGGTATTACACACTTATTCACGATTAGATTGCATCCCAATAAGATCGGTACTTCTTCAAGCAAAAGGGTGGGTCACTTGCAATGCATGCATTATTCCGCATTGTTTTGCGCCTGCGCGCAACCCGAGCTGTGAGTGGCAAAAACCGAGAGTTCAACATCCTCGACTCTGCCATTCCGTTGGGAACAGTCTCAAGAAATCAATGGAGACCATTATTACCATACTCAAACGACTCTTTACTTGGTTCATATCGATCACCAATGCCAAGCTCACAGATCATCCTGTGGTCATTTGCCAACCCAGGAAAGAGAGTTCAGACTGAAGCATGTACTACAAGGACATGCTCACAATCTGGCAACAGAGCCTCATTACTTGCATGGAGAACTTTATTGCTTGCAAGGACCCAGATTTGTTTGGAACCCAATTTTTTAGCAAACACCATCTCAGCACATCCCAAGCCAACGAAGGCCATTGGAACTTGGATGTGAAGACTACGGGCAAATGGCAAGCTCACATTCATTGGATGCTACATGGAGATGGATTATACGGCTTGGCTTCGACAGGCCCCAAGTGCCCAGCATTGAGTGGGAAGGCGAGGAGCAGCTGAGCGAGAGTAGATTAAGATTTTCTCCCCGCATAAGAACCCCACCCTATGGCCGTGGACGGGGATCCGAATATGCACTCCGCCTATAAATGGTCAAGACTCCCCCTCACATCGTCCTGCTGAGATCGCAGGCCAGGAACGAGCCGACACAAGCTGCCTTGGTCGGCAAGGAAACGGTCCTAGCTGCCTGGCCCTCGACGACTGGAGCCCCAACCTGCTCGACATCTAGGCACCCTGACCTTATATTCATAGAAATCGTAGCTTAAGTACTACGTTTTCCGCCTCGTGTTTACCACTCGGACCTGCGCGGACCCTATCCTGGTCGAGTGGCTTGCAGTCCGGCCCTCGCTTACTCTGGGGACCACCCTCTGCCAGAGGGCGCACCCACCCATGCAGTCGACCATACCCCTTCAGAGTGGCACTCTGCACCCGCGACACCCCCTGCCCTACCCCCGGGCCTGCCAGGTGACGTTCATGCATGGAGATGCCATGCAGCCAGGATCATGCATGAATTGGGCCGAGGCCAGTGGCCCTGCCCTGCTTGAGTCGCTGCGATCTCTGAGGCTTACGTCGCCCTTAAACCCGCAGGGATGTGCTGCTCAGCTGCCCCCTCTAGACTGGTCCCGGCTCCAAAGGCGGAGGATCCCGGGAGTTGCCTCCAGGCTGGTGGTCCGCTGTGCTCGCACCGACTACACCGCCAAGGCCGGGGATGTGGAGGTGCTGAAAAAGCCCCTGAAGTCTGAGCTCAAGCCCTCCGAACTCGTCACGGTCTTCGGCTTCCCCCGGGACTTTGACACGCAGTGAGTGCCTTTGAACGCGGGCTGGGAGACGTGCGACCTGAGGCCTACTGCTCTGTGTACTACTATGATCACGACGACCTTGAAGGTCGGGGAAGCGCCTTGCGTTGCAGGTCCATCCACCAATATTACTTCCCTCCTCCTCCCCGCCTCGTGCCCAGTTACGCCATGGGGGACATGCTGGGCGCGGGGTCCTTTGGCGTGGTGCGGCAGGCGACGGAAAACCAGACTGGCAACCAGTACGCGGTGAAGAGCATCATGAAGATCCCCAAGAATGGCCGCCCAACGCCAAGGTACCTGATCAAGCTGCAGACGGAGGTGGATGCCATGCGTCAGCTGGGTGCCAGCCTGGACGCTGTGCACCTCAAGGTAGGGGGGGAACAGGGCTGTAAGGGCGTGCTAGGAGTGGTGTGACTGCCCTTGTGGGGCTGGACCACTGGTATCTTTGCTAAGATCCGGCTCCTGGCCTCTTGAGGCTATGGATTTGCTGCTCAGTGGATATCTGCTTGTTTTTCGGGCACTCTGCATTGACGGCTGGTGTATGGGGTAGGGGCTGCCTGCCTGCCTGCGCCCCACCAGAGGTTTGCGAGATAAGATATGCACTTGCAGCGCCCCGTCTCCGTTCCTCTCACAAGCCGCACCGCACAAATGACACCTTCTCCAAACAGGATGTATTTGAGGATGAGCTCAGCATCCACCTGGTGATGGAGCTGTGTGAGGGAGGGTCCGTGCTTGATGGGCTGCAGCAGGGGGACTACAGCGAGCGCCAGGTGAGGGTTGGGCAGGGCTTAGAGTGCGTTTGGGAGCATTCCTGCATGATGCCTTTGCTCCCCAGGTGCACAGGGAAGGCTCCATGTCTTGTTTTGCTGTCTGGCAAGACGCCATATCTCCAAAATCCTCAGGTCCAGCACATCATGAGGAGCGTGATGAGATTCCTGGCCCAGAGTCACTCCAAGGGCATCATCTACCGTGACGTCAAGCCAGACAATGTGGGTGCTTTTTAGGGGGGGTGGAGGCGTATCAAAACGTGAGGTGGTTTTGAGCATGGGCATGGGCGGAACCTAGGGATATTCATTTGGGAAGGAATGGTCGGCGAGCGACCCTTGAGCAGCGCCTTGCTTTCGGTACCCTCACCATCCACCCACGCCCATGTCTGTTCCATGGCCCCGCAGTTCCTGGCCAAAGACAAGGTGTGGTGAGGCGTTTGCGAGGCTGCAAACCCTGCTAGAGCCTCGGCAGGGTGTGCCTGGTATCCGACGCAGGGGATGCCACTCTTGAACCGTTTCCACATTGGAGTCCTGTAGGATGTGCCATCAGGAACCTTTCATCAAAACAAAACGCCACAAGTGCAATCCTGCGCCCAGCGCTGCATGAACACCTCACCTTCATCTCCATTCCACCCCAGAACTGGGCAAAGGAGATCCACTCCGAGACCTTCCTCTCGCGCTTCGGCCGCGCCGTGGGTCTGGACTCGCGGGAGGAAATCGCGCCCAGCGACTCCCCCATCAAAGCGACAGATTTCGGCCTGGCCATGCGTCACCGAGCCGGGGAGCCGCCGCTGAAGTCGAGGTCGGGAACGCCGGCTTACATGGCGCCTGAGGTAATCCAGCAGTGCTATGGCCTGCCCGCCGACATTTGGAGTGCGGGCACCATGATGTACCAGCTCCTGACAGGCAAGGCTTGGTGGGGAGGGTGTTGTTTCTGTACGCGTCCCTGTGTGCATACAAGAGGTACCGAGATCAGGGAGTAGACGATCCACCACCCGTGCAACCCCCCTTACCCCTCCCTGCACCGTTCACACAGGCAAGTTTCCGTTCTGGGACTCGGTCAAGGACTGCACGCTGCAGGACGTGTGGAAGGCCATCCTGTCGCAGCAGGTCAACTTCACCAGGCCAGAGCTGCAGCAGGTGGGGTGGAGTGTTGTGTGTGCCTTGCCCCTTGAAAAGGACTGCGGCTTGTCAGCTCGCGCATACTCGTGGCCCTCCAGCCTGCCATCATCCCCAAAACCACACCGTCTTTCCTCATTCCACACAGGTGTCCACCTCAGCACGCGGCCTGCTCATGGCCATGTTGGAGCGTGACCCCCGCAAGCGCATCACCGCTGCCAAAGCCCTGGAACATCCCTGGCTGAAGGTTTGTGTGGTGCGATTGGCTGCGAGGTGACCCCCTTCAATGCCGCTGGACACAGCGATACTTGCCAACTTCAGCGCCTCCACATACTTGTGACAAGCCTGGTTGCTTGCCTCTGTGTGCGCAGCTCGATGCACACCTGTCCAGACTCCCGACCTGAACCCAGCAGATGCCTGCGTGATGGTGCTGGTGATGCCGACCGGACCCCCGTTGCCCCCTCCCGTCCTGATCCCTTCCCAATGCCACCCCACCCACCCACCCACTCACACGCAGGAGGACTTGGGCTCCGACACCCCCCGCCTGCGCGCCTCGGTGGTGCAGCGCCTGCAGCGCTTCGCGACGCACGGCCAGCTGAAGCAGCTGGTGCTGCGCACGCTGACCGAGGCGGCGGGCGTGGACGGCGAGTCGGCGCCGCCGCCCATCGAGGGCGCCCAGGAGTGGCTGCGCTCCGTGCGCGTGCTGTTCGACGAGCTGGACGTTGACTCCTCCGGCACCGTCTCCATCCAGGAGCTGAGCGCGGGGCTGGAGGCGCTGGGTTTTGATGTGTCGCCGGGGGAGATGGAGGTGCTCATGGCCCGCATCGACACGGACCGCGACGGCGGGCTGCAGCTCTCGGAGTTCGTGGCCAGCCTGGTGGACTGGGGCGTCGTCCAGCGCCACCACGCCTGGCAGGACTGGGTGCGTGCCGTGTTCGACCGCCTCGATAAGGACGGCAACGGCTTCATCACCCTGGATGAGATCGCGGAGGAGCTCGGTGACTACAAGGGCAAGGAAGGTGGGTGGGTGATAGTGTGGGTTGAATTTGGGCATCGTCTGTTCTTTGTACCTGGGAAGGGTGGCCTGAAGGGGGATTGCTGTGGTGGGGTCAACACAATGCTGGAGCCTCTCGTTTGTGGAGAGGAAATGCAGTGTCAGGGCTGGCTGTGTGTCATTGCCAATCAGGAGCAAGCATCAGTCTCAACGCCCGTCCATGGACCTCCATCAGGAGCATCACACTCCACCACGTTGCCTGACTCCCACCCAATCCCCGTTTTGTATCGTCCGCTTTGCAGACAGCCTGATTGCCGCCAGGCGCATGCTCCGGGAAGCTGATGCAAATGGCGACGGGCAGGTGCGTGAGTGGTTTTTGGGTGGGAGAAAATTGTGTTAGCACAGCTTCTGGTCAAGACCTGGCACGATAATACTTTGCAAACCCCACCCCTGCCTCTTCAGGTCTCTTGGTCTGAGTTTGTGGAGCTCCTGGAGGCGACAGACGACGACTTGAATCAGGTGGGCGGAAGGCATGAGAGAGGGTGGTGCTGCACCGCTTCTCTGTTCTCCCTTGCTCTGCGTCCATGACTGGATGATCAAGAAGGCGTGCTCCTACACACATCCCTGCAGTACGACTCGAGGCTGAAGCGATATGCCCATGACGTCGTGGACGAAGACCTGTCGACCCTGGACTCGCTCAATGGTAGCGGCAGCAACGATGACTATGTATAATTAGACGCCCAGGTCTGGCAGGGAAACAGTGGCATGTGGCCATGGCCCACAAGCCTGCAGCAGGGCTCTTGTTCCTGAGTGGCACACCAGCCGTTCCTGTTCAGTCCTAGGACGCCCGCTGCCCTGCAGTCGTATTCAGGGAATGCAATGCTCACGTTTTATCCCTTGCGATACAAGGTCCTGGCCATCTTCACAGTTTTGTGCTTGGCAGAGAGTTGCACTTGTCGACAATTGCCTAAGCCGGGCTCATGCCCTGCCTTGTATGGTACACGAAATCTTTTAGCAGAATCAAGGGTATGTCTGAACACTCTGCAGAAGCAGTCACATGAGTTGGAAAACTGTCGCATAGACACTCCAGCAATCGGCATGGATGCTGGACGAGTCGACCTTGGCTCATATCTTATTGCACTGCCTCTTTTGGTTGGATTCTTGGGCAGGGAGCCTGCGATATGAGATTTAAGTGGGTGTGACATACTTCCGCCTTCAATAGGTAACCCATTGAAGGTAGTTCAACAGCTTCCAGACAACAGTCACAACGCAATTGACAGTATGCCACCACCCGACTCACTCCACTTGGGCTGAGCTTATTCATGTGAAGACATGGCTGTTGGTGCACAGGGTCCAGATGCTCTGGAAGGGGAACCTTACCAAAAGTCATGGTGCATGATAGGTCTGTGTGAAAGGGGGCAGTGACACTGAGAGGGATGGATTGGTGTGACAAACATTGAGCCATTTATTCCATCCCACACACTGCGCTTGCCTTCAAAGTTGGGTTCCAGTGTCAGGGGTAAGCCCACAGTTTCTAGGAAAAATGTCTGAGTAGGCATCTGCGATGTGAGAGGGACGAGCAGCAGCATTCCAATGAGCTGAAGTAGATGGCCAGGTGCAATTGACCCAAGTATCGTCTGGAGTGGACATCCTGCGTCAGTTTTCTGGGAACAACCTTGCAAGAGCTGCCTTCTTTCCCCCCGCAAACACCGAGTCCCCAAGCTGCTCACCTTGCACAGAGAGACACACATTCCAACACAGCCACTGCCTTCAAGGAAGCGACACTTTTCAATCTGAACGGCACTCTTCCACTCATGGGTCTTCCCTTTGCTTGAGACTTTCACCTGGGAGAAACAAATAATGGCATGATATTGCCGCCAGGTGCCCACCACAGCTTTGAGGCAGCGCATGTTGATTTTGGCGACGGCCATGCAAGCTCTGCCAACAAAGCCACACCCAAGCAGACAGCGTACCTGTTGCCGCTGTGTGTGGCCAACAAGGCCGCCAAAGCAGGTGGACGCAACGAGAGCCATGGATTCAGCCACCAACTGTGCGCGAGGAGGAGGAGGAGCATCAGGGATCTGTTGTAGCGATGACATGCAAACAGAAACCTGGTTGGCGCAAGCTGACCCAAACATACGGTTTTGCTCAGCACCGCAGCACCCCGGCATGCAAGCTGTCCCCCACCATTGCAGCACCTTGTTCAGGGGAAGATGCCGACGGAGGAGTACTCCCATCCCAGGCTGGACCAGACCTCCAAGGACCTTGGCCACAAACCTGCGCTGCTCCTCCACAGACCTCCCACGAGTGATGCTTTCGGCTCGGTCTAGGAATCCCTGGAATGTGTTGTTTCTCTCTCTATCGCCTGGAGGATTGAGGGCTGGAAAGTGAGAGGGGGACCGTCACGATGCACCCCTGCTCTGGATAGTTCATGCATTGGTCTGGTGTGCACAACCACAAGCCATCGCTTTCAGATGATCTGGCCCAGCCTATCGGCGTCTCACCTCCCAATTCCTCGTCCATCCGATGATTTATGATCCCTAGGATTACCCTGTCCATCCAGGTGTCCTTGTATTCACTCGGAGGGTGGTTGGGCCCAGTGCGAAGCTGGGTCTTTACAAGAGGGCTATCGACAGAGGGCGTCGCGGCGCTTGGCTTCGCATGGACCGCCATGCACTTTCGAGGGACCCGCTGGGTCACGAAAGCCGTGTTATATTGGGGCCCGGAGGCTGGTCGACCACCATGTCGACAGCTTCTCGGTTGCACACTAGACCGGCAGGCCGGGCTGCATGGGCCTGCCTGAATGGGCCCCGCAACTCCCATGCACGTCATCGGGACTGTACCATCATTACCAGTGTGGGGTGACCTCCCAACGGGGTCTCATGCCTTGTGCACCTGCAGTTGGTTACGTCGACTGTCCTCATGCAGCTGCTGCCCATGCTTTCCTGGCGATGTGGAGGTGCGATATGAGCCACATTGTCCCAGCATCACCAGCAGCTCAACCAACCGCTACCCAGCCTCCAGGGGAAGCGGAGGGCAGATGTCTGACCTTCTCCCGTTTAGCGCCTCCTTGAATGTCAGCTGTGACCAGTCCCTTGTGGTGCAGACATGTCTAGCCCCATTCACCAAGCTTGCATCACCCCAGCTCCCAACACTCCCCCCCGTACTTCCCAACCTGGATAATTCTATACATGACAGAGCTATAAGAAAAGCGATATAGTGTAGGGGATGAGAGGCACCAGACACTAGCACAGTGGTCTGCACAGGGTGAGGTTGGAGGACCGCTGGCCTAGCACATTGCCGGGGCACTTTGGGGGACACACTTCTGGATGGAACGGTGCCGGAGAGGGGGCAAAAGACACATGGGGAGAGGCAAGGGGGCGATGTCCCTGCTGGTCTCAAGAGGATGCATACAATGTCAGTGGATTCCTTTTTTGTGAGCTTCTGGCTCAAGGGGATGGCAAAGTGGATGTCGCGAAGCACAGGGGCTGGGCAGCGGGAGGCACGATGGGGTCCCGACCCTCGTCGGCGGCAGGACACGGAGAGAAGGACTCTGGGAGGAGGGAGCAGTGGCGAGGCTGTTGCGTGTGTGCGTGGGGGAGAGAGGCATGCTTCCCTGTCACACTCCTCCGTCCCCTCGTCAGCCTGCTGACCTCCAGCGCCTGCGCCGGCCGGCCCCAGCGCATCAGTGCGCGCCCCCCCTGCTCATGCGGCCGGCGGCCAGGTCGCGGGACAGGGGGAGGGTGCCCGCCTGGGGCGCCATGACGCCGCCCAGGCCGGCCGCGGGCCCCAGCAGCTGGCCCAGGTCCGGCATGGCCTGGGGGCCTCCCTGCGCCGGCCGAGGACCATTCGCGGCCAGCTGGAAGGGCGTGGGCGCGGGCAGGGGCACGCCGCCGTGCTGGCCGTCGTGCATGCTGCCGCTGCCGGCGCGGGGCGAGCCGGCGGGGGGGGGGTAGTGGAAGGAGTGGCCGACATGCGCGTGGCCCGCGCCCAGGCCGGACAGGAAGCCGCCGGAGGAGCCGGCGGAGCTGTACGCGCCGGGCGAGCCGCCCAGCCGCCCCGACGACCCGTGGCATGCGGCGGCTGCCAGCGGGTGCCCGCGCGCCTCGCCGGCGCCCGCCCGTGCCTCGCCGCCCGCGGACAGGCGCCGCAGGTCCAGCTCCGACAGCGAGTGCGAGCGGGATTCGGGGCGCAGCAGGTCGCCCGCGGAGCCGCCGGGCCCCACGCTGGAGGACAGGCTGTGGCTGGACCCGCTGCGTCCGGCGGCGCTGTGCGGCACCGACTCGGTGCTGCGCCGGCGCAGGAGCAGCGCGGAGCGCAAGGCGGGCAGCGCGGAGGGCGGGCGCGGGCGCAGCGCCGGCGCCACGGGGCCGCCCCCCGGCGCGGCGCCGGCCTTCCCGCCGCCGCCGCCGCCGCCGCCGCCGCCGCCGCCGCCGCGCGCCATCGCGCGTAGGTCCCCCGTGCTCATGGCTCGGCGGCGCCGCGCGGCGCGCAGGCTGTCGGACACCGAGCCGCCGCCCGAGGCGTAGCGCGCGGGCGGCAGCACGTCGTTCAGCTCGTCCCACTCCCCAGGCGCGTCGGGGTGCAGGGGCGCGGGGATGTGTGACAGCAGGCGCGGGACCAGGTCGTCGGCCAGCGAGCCGGAGCTGGCGCAGCGCGAGCGCAGCGGCTCCGGCGCGGCGGCCGCAGCGGCGCGCACCGCCGGCAGCTGCATCACCTCGTCCATGGTGGGGCGGCGCGCGGGGTCCACCGTCAGCAGCGCGTCCACCACGCCCTGGAGCCCATCCGAGTAGCGGCGCGGCAGGCGCTCCCAGGCGCCGCCCAGCATCTTGGCCTCCATCTCCTGCTGCTGCCGGCAGAGGAAGAGCGGGCGCAGCGCGCACAGCTCGTGCAGCACGCAGCCCAACGCCCAGACATCGCCCGAGTAGGAGCAGCGCTCGAAGCGCCAGAACTCCGGGGGCATGTAGTGCGGCGTGCCCGACTTGGTCTCCGTGAACACGCGGTCCAGGATCTCCGCGATGCCCAGGTCCGCCAGGCTCAGCGACCCGTCCGCCCCCACCAGCACGTTCTGCGGCTTCAGGTCGCGGTGCATGATGTGGTTGTGGTGCAGGTACTGCACCGCCACCGCGATCTGCAGGAACATGGACCAGATGGCGCCCTCGCTGAAGCGCTGCATGCGCTCGTAGCGCAGCATGCTGTTGTTTGGGGGTGGGGGGAGTGCTTTGAGTTGGGAACATGTCGGGGTTCTGCACCTCGGTGCAAGGCCTTGGTGGGGGAAAGCACCGAGGGGACGGGCTGCGAGCAGCTCCTCACAGCCACACAGACCCCGCGTCGACAACCCCCTGCAGGAGTCATTTGCACGGCAACCCTCGCTCACATGATGGAGGCCAGGTCGCCGCCGGGCATGAGCTCGGTGACAATGCAGAGCTTGTCGTGGTCCACGAACGCCTCATGGTACTGCACCAGGTGAGGGTGCTGCAGGGATGCCAGCAGCCTGGCGGGGGAGGTGCGTGGGGTGGGGGTCACCACTGGGTGGCAGTGTGCTTGAGTAAGCGCTGAGGGCAAAGCAAGCGCGCCTCGCCTGCCGTGCCACCACAAGCCAGCAGCCCCCTTCCCCAACAACAGTGCGGACTCGCCTGATCTCCTGGACCACCTCATGCGCCACCGAGGGCTTCAGCTCCTGGATGTTCGTGACCTTGAGCGCGTAGTGCCCCCTATCTGAGAGGCGCTCCACCTCGTACCTGCGTTGGGGGAGCGGAGGGAGAGCGGGTGAGGCGGTGAAGGGGGGAGGGAGTCCCACCGGCTCGAGTGCCGGGCCCGACGCGGGCACCGTCGTAAGGACCGACCCCCAAAACCACTGCCCGTGGACGTACACAGTAGAGTAGCCGCCTTGGCCCAACTTCTTGATCAGCCGGAAATGTTTGGCGAGCTCCAGGTTCTTGGCACCCAGCATGTTGTTGGCCGAAGACTTTGCCAGCATCTTCTTGAAGATGTTCGGGCCTCCCATGGCTCCCGGCTTGGCACACTCGGATGTATCACGACTGGTTGTGGGTGAAGGGCCTAGGCCAGTGCTCAGACGCGTGCTAATATGAAGGTCGGAGTACACATAGCCAGGACAGCAGGCTAGACGTAGCAGGCGATGCCAGAGTGCCTCTGCTGTGTCGAATCGAATTCACGATATTCAGAATGAAGATGAACTGGGCTCGGCATGCAATGCAGTACAATTACAGGTTCCGTGTGTGCATGGTGTACACTCGCGTCCAACCCTCGTCAGCTCCGGAACATCGACCCCTGACCCGAGGCCTTTGAATCGGACTTGAACAGCCAACGATCATCACCCTTAACGCGCTTTCCAGTCAGACTCAGGCCCTACGAATGCCGATCACAATGTGTTTATACATTTGCTGTAGAGGAAAATGGCAAAGGCAACCCTGCCACCACCGCAGCCGCCTATCCAGGGACAAGGTGACGGAGCTGGATCGCGTGAACCCGGCCTGCAGGCAGCAGATTTCCGCAGTACACGATTCAGAGGGACCAACCAGCTCGCTGGTGTGACAGCCAGAGCTCCCGGTCCCCGGGTGCGCCTGCGGCACGATGAGGGAGCCCTTCAAGATGCTCTGCCTCGTTATACAGTAGCAGAGTTCCGCAGGACGGGCATACGACGTTGTGTGGCGATTTTCCAATGCAAGTACAGGTCACTGTCGCTAACGCAGGTCGAATGCGTCTCGAATGCCGCCGGCAATGTGGTGAGTTACAGGATCGGCATTGCTCTCAGACAGCGTCGTCACGGCCTAGATCAACCAGCAGCTGTCACAGCTTCCCGCAGCCACTTCACATGACAAGAGGACCGAGTACTTTGTTTGTCGGATGCCTCACATCATCCGGTGCAGAGGGATGCAGGGTACCTGTCAATCCTCCACAGCAGTGGGGTGCAACCTCGATCTTGCAGCTCGCTCCCAATCTTCAACGAGGCGATCGACAACAGCCCAGTGGTTATCGAATCGTACTATGTTGACGTGTTGCAGCCTTTTCAACCTTATGCTGCGCGTTGTCCTGCTTGAGCAGAGCTTCTTTGTCCTGTCGAGCACACGCGACATGTCGGCTCCTTGACCCCGCTGCCCGACCCTCAACATGGTTCTAGCGCCCTGCTTCGATCCTATTCGAGTGTCACGTCCCAGTCCAGACCAGTACCTGCGCAAGGGAGGAGGCCAGCCGCTTCTGGGGGCAACCACCCGTGACACTCCTGCCACGCCCTCCCCCGCCCTTCGGGGCCCTGGTGTCGGAAGCGCCGCACCACCGCCACTCAGAGCCTCCCAGGGCACCCACTCCCTCCGTTTCCGGCGTCTGTACCAGCGGGCAGACCTCCCCATCGCGGTGGAGCAGGATCGGCCCGGCAGGACGGGGCTGCGCTGGACCCAGCCCCTGGACCAGCTGGACGTACCGGCCCTGCTCCCCATCTTCGTTGACGGCCTCATTGAGGAGCAGGTGCGAGGATCAGGGACACGGACCGGCAGGTTACGATGAGTACATGTCAAACGGTGAGCTGCCTCGCTGCCTGGCGCCCTGACCCATCGTGAGGGTGATGCTGGTTGCGGGGTGACACTCCTGACCCCCCCTCCCCGCCCCCACCCCTCGGGCCAGGAGCCGTACCGCATGCTGGCCGAGGCGGGCACCACCGCCCTCATCGCCCGGGGAGGGGAGGCCGTCCCGCAGTGCATCCCCCATCTCATTGTCCCGCTGAAGGCGGCGCTTTCCTCCGACCGGCCGCGCACCGTCCTGCGTGCGCTGAGCACGCTGCGCGCGCTGGCGCTGAGCTCGCCCGCCGCTGGCGTGGCGCTGCTGGGCTACCACCGCCACCTCCTGCCGGTCCTGGACAGGCGAGGCCGGGGGGTCGTTGCCACGGCGGGGCCGCATGCGTGCGTGCCTGCCTTGCACCCTGCCGGGTAGGTAACTGCCGTGGCCTTGGTGCCCGCCCACCACATACATGCTTTGCTGCCAGGCATTCATCGCCCAACATCGACCCACTGCCCACCCCGATCTCCCCAGCAATCTCCATGCAGGTACATGCACCATGCGAGGTGCCCCGGCGCGTCGATCGCTGGATCGGGACACGAGATGCAGGACGCAGTGTGGCAGACGCTCGGCACCCTGGACGCCACCGCAGGGAGGGACGCGCTGCGGTCCATCCAGTACTTCATCCCCGTGTACCACCGCATCTGAGCCTGGCTCCAGGGGGGACTGCTCCAGGCTGACTGGGGCACCGGGACCGCCCTCCGCTGTGGGGGGGATGGGATGGCCTTCGTGCCACCCTTGCCCTTCTTCTCTACACTACCCTCAACAGCCTGGTCCTTTGCCATTGCGCACCATTGCCTTACATCCCCGCCAGGGACTCTATGAGCAGCTCGTACCCTTCCCCCACCGGCTCCTTGGCGGCGACCGCCGCCGTGAGGTGCCCGACCTCTGTGAGACAAGGCAGGGAGGACAGGGTAGCAGGGTATTTCGATGTACAGCGCACCCCTGACTCGACCAGGCAGAAAGCCAGGCGACAGGCACGCTTTCGACTGAGATCGATGTGTCGGCATATTCCCCAGCGCCCATTCCCGCAAGCCTCCCTCCCTCGTCCCCTTCGAGCGCGGCATCCCACCTGTGAGATCGAAGTTGGGCTGGCGGGCCAGGAAGAGCAGGAGATGGAAGTCGGCCAGGCGCTCCGCAAAGGGCTTCCCGCTCCTCTTCTGGAGGTGCGCCCTGAGCTCCGCTTTCCCTGGCAATGAGAACAGGTTCGACAAGCCCAGGCTGAGGCAGGACAAAGGCTCCACTGCGTGTACGTATGCTCCTCGAAAGGCACCAGGACCCCTCCCTGCCCACTGCCGGCACACCTTGGGGCAGCAGCCTGTTCTCACAGGGGAAGGCATTCTCGAGGGGGCCCACATGGTCTTTGATGGACACAGGCATGAGGAAGTAGTCGTTGTCCACCTCGCCCTGGTCCTTCCCCGCGACAATGACGGGCGTGGCGTTGCCAGGCTCCTGTGAGAGCGGTGCAACAGGGTGTCAGAAACGGAGAGAGTGCAGGGGATGTGCGGCAGGGGCCGGGTCAACCTGGCGCCCATCACACCCCTCCTCTGATAAACCTTGGGGTTTCGAAGGGTGGTGACTCCGCTCGGCTCCGTCTGGTCCTGGAACCAGCCCTCCTTCCACAGCTTCACACACTGCCTGGAGACCTGGAAGGCCTGAGTGCATGAGCAGAGGGAGGAGGAGATGCAGTCAGCGATGAGGAGGAGCGGGAGGTTCAGATTATGATCAGGAGCGCGCGTGAGGGGCTTGGGCGACGAGGCTCCAAGCCTGCCCTAGAAATAGAGCGCTGAGGCCTACCAAAACTGGGCCCAGAACCGTGCCACCAGAGCATAAATGCCCCTCACTCCTCAAGTGGGCTACCCACCTCTACATGGACCTCCACCTGCCCATCGTCCCCGGGGAAGGCAGCCACCATGGCAGTGACAGCTGTCTCCCCAATCTCATCCTGCAGTGGAAACGAGGTGTGCACATGTACTCTGCGGTTTCAAGCAGGCAGTGCATGGCATGGGAGATGAAAGGACCACAGGTATCTACACTCGTGCGTTTTTGAGCAAATTATCCCAGGTGCCTCAGCCTCCGCCCCCCCCCCAATCACCTTAGACTACTACCTCTCCAAATATACAAGTGCACACCTGAAAGGCAGCCATTTGACACAGCTCCTCAGTGCTCACTATAAAATCCCGCTCCTTCACACTCTGGCTGTATACCCAGCCGACCTTGGTCCACCTGCAGGGATATTGGGACAGTCCTTTGGTTGGCACCCAATGTTGTAGAATGCTGCAAACAAAGGTTGACACAGAAGGCAGCCGATGCGCAGATGCGCGGCCCAGCAATGAAAGAAGCCACAGTCTCACCCAAGAGTGGTGGCGATGACGTCAGCTGCCGCCTCCTCCTCAGTGCCTCGCTCCAGCTGCAGCGAGTCTGCTGTGGCAGACTGCGGCGGCTCATAGATGGCATGCACCTGCACGGCGCCCTCCTCGCCAACTGCACGCAAAGGAACGCGGATGAGGCATCATGCAGTGATGGCGGGTACAATGATTGGCATGGGCATAGGCGGCCGGCTGGCTAGAGGTCACCAAGCCCAAACGGCCCCGTGACCCACACAGAGATCATCACGTGAGGTCAACGGAGGAGCTCTCGGGACAAGTGAGCAGCTGATCATCCAGATGCACACCTTCACCGACCTCAGTATAGGCACAAGCCAGACAGTCACCATACCCTCCTTTCCCACACTACGCGAGCGCTTTCTCACCGACTCCATACAGGATGCCCCCCCGCTTGATGCTGAAGGCCAGGGCAGCAGACACGTAGGACTGGAAAGCGTGGGCAGCCTCCGCATCAAAGGACGCGCTGGAGCAGGCCGCGGTCTCCTGGCGCTCGATGCGGGTCTGGGCAGCCACCATGCGCCGCACGTCCATGTGGGCGCCAAAGGGCCTGGTTTCGAACGTTGACCGGGGTGGGCCGGGGATGCTGCGCTTGATGCCATACTTCATAAAGAGGGTGTCGCCATGCTGGATGCCCAGGCCCTTGAGGCTTTTGGACAGGGCAGACAGGGTCTGCACGGACTCGCCATCCTTGGCAGTCAGCTAAGGAGCAGGTGAAGGGGGAGTTGGGATGGCTCAGCAGGAACGCCCATGACCTCATGAAGAAGCTGCAGGGCGCAGTGTTACCCCTCGCATGGTCAAGGGAGTACACCCCTGCTCGACCCACCAGTGTGGGCTCTTGTGAGATAACAAAATCGTCCACGGGAATCGAGAGATCAGCGGCAATGGCCTGTCGAAGATCGGCCACGGTGGCGTCATCCGCCACCTTGACCCGCTCCAGGCCGTCTCTGGCACGCAATTGAGATAGTGAACAGTTACATATACCTCTGGATTGGGATTTTGAGTTGCACATCATTTGGAATTCCAGAGACTCACCTGGAGCGCAGGCGGAGGAGCATATGGCCCGGTGGACGACCTGCCCGTGATTGTCCCCTGATCCCTCACAGCAAATGAGTAAGGGATATGATTCGAAAACCAAAGAAACATTGATTGGAGTGGATCACCAAACGGCTGATCGCAACGGCCATGGAGGACTGCTGCATGAAGTGATCTGAGCGCGCAGGAATGGAATTTTCTTTTCCTTCGCACTTGAACTTCGGTGAGGCAGCTATGGGAAGGCAAGTTGGTCTATTCGCGCACGAAATACAGATACTCTGAACATCCGCCTTTCCGCTCAACATCGACGTATTGAGAAGGAAAGTGGTCTCATCGGTCCCGTACTGAGAGAGCAATCCTCCGAATCCCCTGCCCCTCGATAACCATGCCTCCGAGTCAGATCCAGTACAGCGAGCGCTACTACGACGATGTGAGCAGGTCAAAGGGATGGTGAAATGATTTTTCCGATGACCTGGAGCGCCAGTGTTGCTGACATGTTCCCCGCTTCCCCCTTGCAGATCCATGAGTTCAGGTCTGGTCCTCTTTGGAAGCTTCCAGAAGCGTGAGTCCTGGTGTATTCTGGGGTATGTGTCTCCAATAGTTCCCTCTCCTCTCACTCTGTACACACAGGCACGTGGTCTTGCCCTCAGACATCGCTGCACAGCTGCCAAAGGGGAAGCTGCTGACCGAGACGGAATGGAGGGCCCTAGGCGTCCAGCAATCTCGAGGATGGGTGAGCAGGGGGATCTGAAGGAGTTGGAAAGAAGTGTAAGAACGGTCGATGCAGTAGTATGCGTATCTTGAAGAGCAAAGCAAGGGCGGGTCATGGGTGTCAGACTCATGAGGTTTGCTACTGCGAGTCCCGACGTAATGGTGGGAGGAGCTGGACTGCCAGTCACTCCTGAGACCCTCAGAGCCTGCCCCTCCGAACACAGGTCCACTATGCGATCCACAAGCCAGAGCCCCACATAATGCTGTTCCGCCGCCCCAAGGGCTACGGCACGGAGGCAGCCCTCCCAGCCGCGGCCACCGCCATCCCCGCTCAGTAGACATGGCCTGATTGATTGGGGCCTGCCAGGCACGAGTCCAAGAATTACGGGGTCCAAGAGTGCGGCATGGCACCCTGTACAATGCATGTGGAGCCCCTCGGACTTTGCCTGACGGCCCGCACATGCCTCACTCAATCCCTTTTTTTGCACGGCACGGCCTGTGCGCTCTCTGCCTCCAATGAAGCAGCGGAGTATCCATGTCATCTTGAGTCACCCCAAGCACCTCATCCTGAGGCATGTACAAGTCCTATGGTCAATCACCCTCACCTGCCCTTCTTAGCGAGGAAGCTATCTGCTGGTAACAATCAAGATGAAGCATCAGCATACAACGCAAGGCCTGCTTTCAAGCAAACGTCCCCCAAACGATTAGACGCCCAGGGGTCTCTGTGGGCAGAGTATGTTGTAGAAGGCGTCGGCATGCAGCAGCTTACCCCCAGCCGCCGCCTTGTCGCCGTACTGCTTCCATGCCACCCATTGTCCTGGAGAAGGGGTTTGCAGATGGGGTATGATGGAGTTTGCTCATGGGATGCACTTGATCGCGGCATCCAGATGGGATTTTCCTCTACTCACCGGCATGGATCTTCTTCAGGTCCTCGCCCCCCGTGTAGTGTGGGTCCAGGATCAAAAATGCCACCTCCCCTGTCGACTCGTTCCAGTCCACACCCAGCAGGGTATAGGCCAGCACCCCCCCGCCCACCATGACCGGCGTTCCTGCAAAGGGGATGCGAGGTGCTCATGAGTCATCAGGGAAGGTTTGGGTTTTGAAAGGCATCACTGCGGCGCTCCCGCCCAGGGTCAAGCCCTCGAGAAGCGGGATTCAGGCAGCCCTGTCACCCAGGCCACCAGCTCCTCCCTCGGTCAGCCAGGCCCCTTCCCGGGACCCAGGCCGCAACTCCCACCTTGCATGTCAAAGTGGTGCGCCAGCTCGGCCGCCTTGTCTGGCAGGTCGGCGCCGGAGGCAAGGGGGAGCACCTTGCACTGCACGCCCAGCCCCTCGTCCAGCACGAAGCCCAGCTCCACCGCCCCTATCCACTGCTTGCTGCCCCGGAAGGAGGGCTCCTTGTCCCCCAGCATGACCAGCATAGTCTGGATGGCGGCATGGTCGGGGGGTGGGGTGCTGGTGTATCCCGCCTCCAGGAACCAGGACCAGAGGGTCTGGAGGGAGCGGTAGGCGCAGCCCCATCCCGAGTCGTTGAACCGATCCTGAGCGGGGTAGATGGGCATGCATGTGAGTGGTGGTGGGGTTGAGTGGGGTGGAGTCGAGAGATCCCACAGAATGTGTCTGACACGCCGGGGACTGCCAGCGAAGCAGTCAGCGGCCGGCAGCACTGCTGATCAACACGGACGATCAAGCAGGCTGGGAAAAGGAGGCTGATCCCAGGACCACTGACTCAGGCGCCGGGCCACCCTCACCACCACTTGCCGGCACGGCGGTCGACGAGCACCAGGGGCATGGCAAGCCATTCTCCCCCCATCCCCCTCGCAAATGATGCCCAATTCCTGTAGTCACCTGCATGTAGTGGTAGTACAGGTAGCTGCCCTGGACCAAGTGCTGGGTGCCGCCCTTGACCCTGGAGGGCGCGATGCCGACGTGCACATCTGCCAACCGTCTGGTGGAGGGTGCCGGGAGCATGGCGCCAGGTGCTGCACGGCAGGGGGAGGTGGGAGCGAGGTGGGGTGCGGTGCAGCAGGCATCCCCTCCCTCCAGACAAGAAGCCTCGTCAGATATATGACCGCGCACCCACACAGGCGGACCGCAGCCAGCTTTTCTGCTCGACACACCTTCGATGGGCACAGCCCTCGCGATCCGTAGGAGGGGTCGATCACTGGGGAGGCCCAGCATGGCGTGTATGGCGGCGCGCCTCTCGGCCAGGGCTGCCTCCTCGGCCTTCCTTGCGGACGCGGCGAGCGGATACAGCTGACGCGGGCGAATGGGTGGTAGGGCCTTGTGAGTGTGCTCAAGGGTGCGCTAGAAGCCGGCAGATCGTGGCCACAACCACTTCGAGATGATAGTCTTGGCTGGTAGCTGCAGGGCGAGGCGCCACCCAATCACACCAGCACCCGCCCGGTAGCCTCAAGCTCAGATGTTGGAACCCCCACTCTCGCACCAGCGAGACGTGGTGCTGGAATCCTGGTGGCAGGAAGTGGTAGGCCTGGATCGTCGCTGCCCCTGCCGCCTGCTCCCCCCTGCTCAGTAGGAGCGACACCCCAGCAATCTGCTCCAGAATGGACTGCCTCACAGCCTGCGCATTCGGATGTGGTAGGATGGCATGTGTGGTCTCCTGCTGATGTGCTGGTGCCCCATACAGAACCTCAAGAGTTGCCCAGATTTGCTCGAGGGCAGTCAGACCGATCACAAAGACTCCACCTGGGTGCCGGCCAATCCTCCCAACTCACATTGTAGGCGGCAAGCGCACCAGGGGTGTCTCTCCGAACGTAACACAGGGCGTCCAGGTGGAGACGCGCGGTGTGTATCTCAGCGCCGGGCTTGACCTTGTGCTGAGGAGTGATGACCACAGGCGCGAGGGCAGGGCGCTCGCTGGTGAGGCAGGGGTATGCCATGACATGGAGGGGGGAGTCCCATGAAGCCTGGGGCGCACCCTCCCTCAGGCTGGGCATGTCTGCATGGGTTGGTGGGTGGAGTGAGGAGTGAGGTGGCGGCACAGGCATGGCATAACGCCCACGGCATCCGATCTCTGCAATGACCCGACACTGTCGCCCTTCCCACTGCAGGCGCTGGGCTTGCAAATACTCAAATCATCTGCCCTGCGACGCGCCTGCCAGGCTCTGAGATGCGTCCGGGGTCAAATACAGGGTCTCTGCGCTGGCCAGCTGAGAGCCGACCCCCCCCAGCGCTGCCAGTGTGGCTTTGCTGGCCTCTTGGCCCCTGACATAAGTTAAGCTGGCGGAAGCAGTGGCCCGCACAGCCACCCACTCCTCCCTCCAGTCGGATGCGGCTGTCTGCACATGCGGCAGCAAATCCCCTCGGCCAGCCGTGGCCAGCCAGCGCCACGTTATTAACCCCTTGTCATCGATCTCGGCTGCCACCAGGCCAAGGGTCGGTGACGGTGTCTTTGCAGCGCCAGCCCGGTCAAAGGAGCCCGCCACGGCCAGAGGAATGGGGAGAAGCTCCTGTACGTCGCCTGTTTTGTGCACAGGGCATGCGCCTGGGATGTGTGTATCGCTTGAATGAGCCCCACCCCACGACGGCAACACTCGTGAACTGGGCCCACCTGCAGCGTGCTTTGTGGCGATGGCCCCAATCACAATTATGCCATGGTCGCCTTCCAGTCCCACGAGTAGTCCGGGGCCTTTTGCGGAGCGTAAGACGTTCTCCACCTCCGGCAGCACTGTGAGCGAGCTTGCCATGGGACCGGTCAGGGTCGCCTGCCACCCGCTTCCTCGAACCGCTACGGCTTATGTAGATTACACGGCAGGAGAGATATGGAAAATTGATGCTGGGACAGCGCGGTAAATCATGCTATGCTGTGGAGAAATGTACTTGGTGATGTCAAGCGCCCCGCGCCCCGGGATGTCGGAGGCAAACCCTAAGGCAGATAGATGATGGCAGAGTGGGGCACTAAAACGTCACACAGGACTCCCAAAACAGGTATCAAGTAATAATTTCCACATGGGATCGATCAAATTTCTCACGCTCGCTTCCTGTGCCGCCCAGAGTGGGACCCACTGCTGGCCAGCAGTGCAGCGCTGACATGCTGCTCCTCCGCCGCCTGCCCCTGGTTTGAGAGCATGTAGTTCACCCGTATGGCCGCCAGCTCTTGCACTGTGAGCCCCGCCCGCACCAGGTACTGCTTGGCGCCGCCCCAGCGCCGGGTCATGTAGTCCATGAGCGCCTCTATCACCGACGCCGCCGCCGCGATCACCTCGTTGGTCGTGAGGTGCCCTGTTCGTGAGGATGGGAGGGGGGATAGGTGATGGGGTGCGTACCAGGCAGCGCCTAGAGGTCGCCCTGCCACCCGATCACCACCAAGACAGGTTTTTCAGCTGCGCTCCCATGGGGCTGCAGGAGCCTCCCTTGTCAACCATGCATCTCCCCCTTTCTTTCACCCCCTTTCTCTTGCTCCCAAAGCTCACCCGGCAGGCTGACGAGCTCATTGTTGTCCCGCGACTCCCGCAGGATCAGCTCCGACCGCACATAGTCCTCCACAATGGCGCCAGGGTCAACATCGCAGACCAGGAGCAGGAGCATGGTCACCACGCCGGTGCGGTCCTTGCCGTGGATGCAGTGCACCAGCACGGGCGCGGAGTCCTTGTCGGCGAAGAGGCGCACGGCGCGGGCCAAGGGCAGGCGGGCCTTCTCCAGCAGGATCTTGTAGAACTTGAAGTAGCCCATCACGTCGGGGTTGGCGATCGCGGCTGGGGTCCGGACAGAGAAGGAAGAGGGGTATAGTGAAGGAAAGGGGGAATGAGTGTTTGTCGCTGCTGCAGAAACCAGTGCAAGGGAGATACCGACAAGATTGTGAAGCTGCAAGCTCTCTGAGGCACAGCAGGCATTCAGACGCCAGCGAATGCATGCCCAGCCCTGCTCCTGGGTGCCGCATGTAGCCTCCTAGAAGTCCCCTGCCACCCCTGACACACCTGCCACAATGGGCTCGGGGGTCTGCTGACGAGCGGCACAGACCAGCACCCGGAACTGCAGCTTGTGGGGGAGCCTGCCCAGGATGTTTAGCGCCACGTTCGTTGGCAGGAGATCCACTGTATTGGGCGAGGGAAGAGGGCTTTATGTTTGTGTTGTGCTCATCCAGACGCGACACTCAAGAGATGGCCACATCAACTGGGTTGTGGGACATCCTCAACCCAACTGCCGTAAGCACGCATGTGCCCCTTGGCCTTGCTCACCATGGTACACTGAGCAGTGTTGCCCGTATGTTTCCTTGGATGCGGCTGTGCACCTCTGGCATGACAGCGCCCGATTGTGATCCGGCTCCTTGGAGGGCCGCAGCCGCACGTGACACTTGGCCTGCAGTGGGGGCAAAGTATCAGCTCAGCCTGAGGCATCCGTGTGTAGCCAGTCCGGTCTGCGCTCCAGCACTGAATTGCATAACATAGCTGATGGCATATGTCGTGAGCGCTCGCCTGCTGTCATGTCATCGTCGCAAGCTGGGGCCACCCACTCACAATGCCAGAGAACCAGATGCGGCCCTTGAAGAACGTGTGCTTCATCAGCTGGCCCGTGTTATTTGGGTGCGCCTTGCACAGCACAGGTGACCGGCGCAGATCCAAGACGGTCTGTAGGTGGTGAGAGTGGGATCATCTGTCCTTAGTCTTGAGGTTCGCACCAGGCGACCAGCCGAAGCAGCCATGTCCCCCAGCTCCCACCCCACTCACCCTCACTCCGAGACGTTGGGCATCCTCCTGGGAGATGACTTGTGACGAGCGTACACACATCCCTGGCTTGATGTTGTCACTCACACTACACAGATCCCGCAGATTAACGCTGGTCAAGGGTGGCGACAGCCTCTGCTCTTTGTCTGCCTTCGTAAGCCAGACATCCGCGTTGTCGGGCCTCCCAGTCACCTCCATGGGACGACGGGTGAGAGGAACTATGCTCGATAGCTATTCGTTTTGTTGAGCAACATCTTGGCATAGTAACTTGTGAGTCTGTGGATCGTGCATTTGCAAGCAGCTTCCCATGTGAGGAAGCTAGTTTTTACGTAACATGTTAATGCCCCGGCTGCGCGCCTTGGGTCAGTTTGTGACGGTCTCAATCTTCTCATCGCAGATCCACGCTGCATACCCTTAACCCATCGATGTATTCGAGTGTGTTGGGCCTCCCTCATTCGAGTATCCTGCCTCTCCTCTCTTGGAATGGTGGCAGGCTGCACAATCGACGAGCGAGGTATGTATAGTATGCATCCCAGGTGACAGAGCCTTTCAGTGCAGTGTCTTACAATCGTGCATACATGCTTTGCAGCGGTGGAAGGGGCTGGTGGTCGCTTTCTTCCCGAGGGAGCCGGCGTGGCTGTCGGCGGGTGGGAGATCACTTGTGCCAAGGCACCCATTACCGGTACGCGGTTTAGAGCGAGGGCTTTGGTGGATGGGTCCCTGCACTGTCTGGTGCAGCAATGTCACATCGGGCCCCCATACGCACGCATGCAGCCGATGCGGAGGTGGATGTGCTGAAGGAGAGGCTGGGATCCCTGGCCTGGCCTGAGCAGTTCTTTGGTGCCAACCATCTGACCCTGGTGCACCCTGAGGCCGGCACACGCCTGACCTTTGAGGCGGAGGACGCCTTACGGGCGTGGCTGTCGGGGTCGGAGGCCCCCGTGCACGTGAAGACGGCGGGGAAGTGGATGCAAGCGCACGCCCAAGATGTCGACACCCATAAGGCCAAGGTCCTGCAGTATGATTGGTGCGTCTGCCAGAGAGAGGTTGGAGCGTCCTGTGGCGCCTAGCGTGTGTCATTGCGACCCTCTCATACCTGCATCTGCCTGCCTGCATCCGAGCACTCGTACAGCACACCACACCTGCAGCCTGGCATGCCACATCTCACACTCGCACACTCGTAGGACTTTCACGACCGGGTATCGAGGGAGTGGTGCGGGGCCAGCAGGGCCACAGTCAGCCCACGGCAGCAGCGGTGAGCTGGCCTGGGAGGCAACCGACGCGCAGATGGACCGCGGCATGCTGACCGCCCGGGACCCCATCCTGATGTATGCCGACATCCCGCTGTTTGAAAGTGAGCTGGAAGACAATGGCGTCGCCTCCCTGTCTGTCAAGGTGACCAGCGAGCGCGGGTTGGCTGTGCGACCACCGCTGCGCGTGATCCTGCCCTCTGTGGCCAGGGAAGGTGGCGGTCGAAGGGTACTTCACAGGCATCCCATGCTTCCGGTGCATCGTGCAGACGCCCCATTTCCCATGGTATCGCCCCCTCCCCAGGTCCGCGTGATGCCGAGGTGCTGGTACGCCCTCCTCAGGTTTTGGCTCAGAGTCGACGGCGTGCTGGTCCGACTCCGCACCACTCGCGTCTTCTGCGCCTTCAAGGACGCCCCAGACGTGGTGCTGCGAGAGGTAAGATGGACTGGGAGCACATTGGCATGGGCTGGCTGCACTGCCCTGGCTTAGCATTTGGTGGTGGCCTCGCACACAGCTGTTTAGGAGTGTGCTGTGCTGCTTGTGGTGCACCAAACTGCGCTGCAACCTAGCCCACCCCTCCTCCTCACGTCTGCAACACCCGCAGACGACGTATCAGGAGGGCACCTTTGCGGCTCTGGCGGCTGCGGGGGCGCCAAGGGAGGGCCCGAGCTACGCAGACGCGGATGCAGCTGGGGCCGCGCTGGCAGCCGTGGCACCCGTGGGAGTCACCCTGTACGAACGACAAGCTCTGCAATTGAAAGAAGGCGGCGCGGCGGATACCAACATGCGGTGAGACACGGGCCAGGGCTGAAGAGATCCACTTCTTCTCTGGCCAGCAGCCTCCCACAGACTTGCCACCATAGCTCGTGTGTATTTATTCAGTCGTTTGGCAAGGTGCATCGTGGTCAGAAGGTTCCTGCACATTCATGGCACTGAGCGGGATGCGGAGGCATTCCATGCGCAGGGTCAGGGCTCCCCCAGCCAGCTCATCAACCCCTGGGTGGCGGGGGGGCTTTGGGCCTGCATGGGAGTGGAGAGGTTTGGCAAGGATGGCGGGCAACGTTGGTTCTTCACCCAGAGTGCCTGACCAGGCAGACCCCGATGATGCCTCACCCCGGGGCCTCGGCCTCAGCCGCCTACTTCTTCAACCAAGCCCACCCCACGTTTGCCTGGCCTGCCCGACCTCCTGGCCCTCCCTCTCCACCCTCCCAACCCACCGCGGTTCGGGGAAGAAGGCGTTGTAGTCCAGGCGCTGCTGCAGATTGAGCAGCGACTCCAGATCCTCCCGCGTGTCGGACCGCTCGCTGGCGGCGGCCCGGTGCGCGTCCGCCAGGTGCGCCCTGAACTCGCCCACCCGCTCCACGCAGCGCGCATACAGCGTGCTGCATGAATCGGAAGGCGGGGGAGTACAATTTGGGGGTGAGCAGGGTCAAGACAGGGGAGGGAGAGCACTGGCAGCACAAGGGGGAGAGGGTCCAGACCCCAAACAACATGGAGAACTCTGGTAACCGGCGCGCCTCAAACCAGCGATGGCCTCAGAGACACGCCCAGGGGTTTCATCGGCCATGTCAAGACAAAACGCACTTGACGGTGCTGAGAAAGACGGGCTGGGAGAGCGCGGCGTCCAACGTCGATCGGCGGCGCGCCGCCCGGACAGCCCGCTCGCCCCACACCGGACCCTCCCCGGCTGTGGAACTCCGCCGGCCTGATGGTGGGGGATCGTATGTGAGGGCTGCAAGTCTGAGTGATCTGACTGTCGCCAGGGATGGTGTGGGTCAGCCCACATCCGGAACAGGGCATAATTCGCCGACCTGCAATCAAATGCTCATCCCAGCCATCCTCACCCCGCCACCCACCTCGGTCGACGCAGGGCCCGCCATACGCAGCCTCCACCTCCTTCTCCCCGGCTTCTGCCAGGGCGCCCAGCACACGGTCGCTCACCTGGTGGCAGCAGAAGGGTGGAGGGCTGAGCAGGCTGCCGAATGAAGATGTGGGTGAGGATCCTGCTCTCCCTCCTTCCCCTTCACTCATCCCCCCAAAGCTTCCCGGACACCCTACCCCACCTTGACAAACTGGAGAGCGAGGTCCTTGAGCGCCAGCAGGGAGCGCAGGAGCACGACCTTGCGGGACAGCAGGCAGCCCTTCATCACCCGGCGCAGGAAGGCATGGTGCTGCTCCAACACCTGCAAAAGGTCGAGGGGGGGTAGCAAGTCCTCGGCTCAGTACTGCTTGCATGTCATGCAGGCACAGTGACCGACCCCAGGCTGCCTGCGACGCGCACTCCGCCAAAGTGCGGGCCACCAGGCCGGTGCCTAGCACTGGCAGGCACTGGCAGTGCGTGCAGCTGCTGAGCCACCCCGGCTCCAGAGCCCCGACCGTTGCCCGGACACCTGCTCCCCCCACACCCCTCTCCACACACCTCATCCAGGCTGTCCAGGGTTTGAACGCGGTGCTGGAAGGCGAGCCACAGCGGCTCCAGCACCTCAAAGGTGATGTACAGGAGGTACTGCCGGAAGAAGTGGGTGACCAGCTGGCAGACGGCGCAGGAGCGGGACAGCGCGACCGCCGAGGCCGCCCTGCGCAGGGTATGGGGGGGAGGAGCAGCGGTCGGGAGTTTGCATGGGCAGCGGAGCAATTTCGGTCGAGCAGGCACCGAGCTGCCGCTTGGCAGCAGCTCCCTCTCCTGCACGGCATGGAGCCACTCCTCAGCAGCTGTCGCGCGTCCTGCACCCCCCTCTGGCATTATCGTGGGTGCCCCTTGCACCGCACAGTCCTCCAGAAGCCTTGACTCGCAATGGAATCACGCAGCCCCCTCCACCGACATGCAGGAGCCAACAGCCTGCGCCCCGACACCGCCGACCTCGTGCGCCCGAGGCTGGGCGCGGGCCCCCTGCCTGTCGCCAGGCTCCTCCCCGTCCTGCTGTGCACGCTGGCCAGGCCGCGGGTCTGGAGGTGCAGCTGCCACACCCGGTTTAGCTCCCGCTCCACCCATTTCAGCTCAAACATGTGCCTGGGGGTGGTGGAAGCGTCAGGAGTGGCGCGTCGTAACGGGAGGGGCCAGGGCCATGCTTTGGGAGAGGCCCGTGCCGGTGAGGGCGTGCCGGGCGGCGAGCCCGCTCCTCTGCATGCCCCCGCAAACACCCTGGGCCCAGCTGCATCCCTCGCCAGGAACCCCCCCCCCCCACCCCCACTGCAGGCCAGTACCCTGCCATTAATGTTCCCCCTTCCTAACCCCCGCCCCTGGCACCTGAAGATCATCTGGTACTGGGCCATGCAGGCCTCGGGCGCGACGACGCTCAAAGGCCAGGGTACCGCGTAGGAAAGCATGAACGATTCGCGCGCGTTCTTCTGCCGGCCGACTGTCTGGCGCTCGCTGGCGGACATGGGCGCCGGCGTCACGGGCTTCAGGCCCTGCGTGTGTGGGCGCGAGAGTGTGCATGGTGTGGGGCTGTCGGGTGTGCTTGAATGCGGTATGCATGTGCATCGTGCGTGGGGGAGGTGGGGCGGCACCCTGCGCTGCAGCCGCCCCCACACCGCTCGACCTGCGGGTGTGCCTGAACCTTCCCACTCCCCCCACCCTCGACATTCCCCCTCACGACGCACCCTACGCAGCGGGGACCCTGGCTGCCCCACCCCCGCAGTGGCGGCCGCGGTCTGTGTGATGCTGACCAGCATGTTGAGCACTGAGCGCGTGTCGAAAGCGGCGCGCAGCTGCGCGGCGGCGGGGACGGCGGCCGCCGAGCTGCCGCGCACCGCCGCCGACAGCAGGGCCTGGAGCTGGAGCAGGGGCACCGCGGCCACCATGCGCCCGAACTCGGCGCCCGCGCTGTCCATCAGGTGGCCGAACAGGTCGCCCTGCGCGGTGAGGAAGTAGCGCCCCAGCACCCCCAGGCCCGAGGCCAGCGCGCGGTCGCCGCGCAGCATGCGCATGGTGGCGCCGGCCGCCACCGCCCGCGCGCGCTCCAGGGCGCGCAGGTACCGCCCGCCCTCGTCCCACTCTGTGGGTTTTGGGGGGGGATGTTGTGAGGGGTGCATGGTTTGTGGGGGTGCGTGGCTGGAGGGCGAGGCAGAGGAAGGGGACTTGACAGGATCAAGCACGCCATGCAGGATGCTGATCATCATACGCCATGGCCGGACAGGCCTGCTGCCCCCCCCCCCCCCCCCTACCCAAATGCTCACCCAGGGGAACGCCGAGTTCCAGAACATCGGCCGGCAGGTCCTGGCCGCAGGACTTGAGCACGTTTAGATACTTGCCTGCGTCCAGTATCGCCGCCTGCACCCCGGCCAGGAAGACGGGGACATCGATGGCTGGGGCGCGCGGCGGCTGGGCTGCGCCCGCGGCGCCCCCTGGGCTGGCCCTGTCGGGCCCGACCTCCGCCAGTCGCAGCCGCCAGCGGTCGTGCCAGAAGGCGGACTGGCCCTCGTGCGTCAGAGCGCCGGGCCGCACACTCTGTATAGTTGTGTGAGGAGGGCGTGTTCGGAGGTTGAACTGTCAGTGAGGAGGGGATGCTAAGTGTAGGGTCCTACCCAGCCCCCACGCAGACATGCAACACTCGCCTGCCCCACCCCTTGCCCCACGCCTCCCCCCCATTTCCCACCCCAAATGCCAGCCCCCAGCCGCACCGCGTCCTCCTGGACCAGGAACTCGCCGCAGGGGTCGGCCAGCTCGCCCTCCCCCACCCAACGCGCCAGCATGGCAAAGTAGGGCGCCGCGGCGGCGCGTAGGAGGCGGGTGAGCAGCGCGTGCGCGCGTGCGTCGCCGAAGGACCGCGCCGCGCGATCGTGCAGGAGGTCCAGCAGCGGCGCGCCGCGCAGGCCGCGCGCCGACGCCTCGGCGCACAGCCCCGCCACCAGCCGCAGCGCCTCCAGCGGCGGCTGCACATAGTACCACAGCGCCTGGCGTGTGGTGAAGGGGGGCATGCGAGGGGGAAGTTGGGGGTGCAGCGTGTCGGTATGCTGAGGCGCCGACTGCACTATCTTCTCGCGGGGGTGAGGCGGGTCGACTTGCATGACTGAGATTCCTCCCAACTGATCATCCTCCCATCCCTCCACCCCAACACTGCCCACCTCCCCGACGGACCCTTCCTTTCTAAACGCCACCCACCTGCAGAGTCAGCTTGCCGGTGTGCATCTGGTGCTCCAGCTGCGCCACCATGACGTGCCAGTCCTGGATCAAAGCGCGCAGCGCCCCCGTCAGCGCCTGGGCCACCAGGCCCCAGCGCGCGTCGTCGCGCGTCTCGGCAAAGCGCTGGACCACCGCCGCGGCCTCGCTGCGCGTCGGCGGGAGGCGGGGGTCGTGCTCGAATGGGAGAGGGACTCGCGCGTGAGGCCAGCCGGGCAGGGCCTCTGGCCTTGTGAACAGCCTCACCACATCAAGGGGGTGATGTCGCCGAAGATCTAGACCCCAGCCACCCCGAGCACCGCCCCATCAACGGCTGGCACCCACCCACCAGATGGGGAGCATGCGCCCCGCCATCTCCGCCAGCGCCGGCTCCACTTGGCTGTGGGTCGTGATGCGGTAGCGCAGACTGGGACCCCCAGCCCCATGCTCCATGGTGGCAGACACGTACTCCCCGCTCAGACCCATGAAGGCCGACAGCAGCCCATCCACCACTGTACAGGGCAAAGGAAGTAGGGGGAGGGAGGTTGACAGTCTTCCCAAAGTCCAAGGATCACAGAGCGGAGCAGGATTTGGCAGGCATGTCCTGATCGCCCCCTGTGCGGAGTGTGAGCATATCTGCAGGAGCTGTGCTCTGATTCAATCAAATGAAAGGATTCATGCCCCTGACATCTCAAGGCCAAAGCCCTACAGAAGAACGCACAAAGGGACTCCTGGATCTCGGCCGGGAAAATGTCCAGCTGGGCCGGGGCTGCATCCTGCTGCGCGGCCGCCGCCTCCATGAGGTAGTACCCGGTGAGGAACGGGCGTTGCTTGGTCCAGGTGGGTGGGGCCGGAGCCGGAGGAGCAGTGCCTGCAGGGAGTGCGTGAGGTTGGCGATCCTCACCCCTATGACCTCAAAGGTGACCTCCATGCATGATGTGATAGGGCAGCAGGCCAAGCACACAAGTGCTGTGCCGCACCTCTTGCGAGCTCGGGAGCGCTGGGGTCGGGGGTGAAGAGGTCGCCCACCGGTGGAATGTCGCCGTCTGGAGATGTTAAGTGGGGAGGGGTGGCTCGGATGGCATCGGCATACTTGGGGTGGTAATCCTGGGCGAGCTTCCTTGGCAACGGAGTCTGTGCCTGCAGCAAGGATTGGAGAATGGGAGTCTGAGGACCACCGCGGGGCCACCTTGGTGATTGTGAGTGCGGTGATGTGATGATATCTTGTCTAACATAAGCGAAGATCTCTCAGAGCCGGCTGCATGTGAAGGCTTCTCCACACACAGACCAGGAGACGACCCAGAGTGGACTCCACTACTCCTAGATACAACCCCTCCTGGCAGGCGCCCACTTGCCTCTCCATACACTGGATTGCTCCTGGCGCCACTGGGGTCAGGGCACGAACCCCGGCTGCCATCCCCATAACCCTGTTTGGGGGTCTGAGCGACGTCCTGTGCGCGATCCTGGGGTCTGGAGACTGGACCAGGAACAGGGGCGGGCACCTTGCCCAGGAGGCGGGAGCGCATGACCTCTAGCTGCGCACGGTTGGCCTCGAGTGCTGCTCGGACACCCGGGGTGTCCACCTGACGCCTGGAGTCGCCCTGCATCCTGCTCCGGCTGGATTGCTAAGGTATACTTCCAGCCAGACAAATCCTTGAGGAGAATCAAGCAACTACTCGGGGAGGGGTGCGCAGGTGTGTTCACATGTCAGATCAACCGAGGTGCGGGCTCGGCACGGAGAGGGCGTTCAAGCTCGGTCAGGGCGCGAGGTGAATCTTGCTGCTACACACAACGACTGGATTACTGTATCAGGTGCTTTCGTATGTTTTGTCTAGCGTTGTTGGCATCAGGGGCCAGATCGCGCCTCGCAACCCCTGCCTCCGACAGGCATGAATTTTGACTCGCGCACAGGCAGGGGGAAAAGAAAGGGGGAGGGATATCACCCTGGTCGACATGGGGTGAGAAACTCCCAGTCACCGCCTGGCCAGGAACTCCCTGCACACGCCCACAAGATGGCATTACGAATTTATTGATAGGATCTTGGTTCTTATATTCTCCTTATTGAATACCGAGGACTGCGTTTTGGTGCAGGCCTGCTTGCCTCTCCCGCTGGCACTAGCGGAACTCTAACACACGAGACCCTTCCTGGGGACCTTTGACAGCTGTAGTGATCAGCAATTAAACAATTGCATATTTCTCGCTAAATTGCACATATAATTGCCCTCTGGTGATTGCTGTCGAGACTGCGGGGGCATGCAGCACACACGCGCCGTGCTGCCCAGGCAGAGCCTGCTGCAGGGTCCTACCTTTCGCCGCACCTCTGCGTCACGCCAGGCCTTGAATATTCTGTTCAAGGGCGTGCGTCCCGTCCTTGCGTCCTCCCTGCCCTCCGGCCCGCCTCGGATCGGCGTTGCCCAGCGACAGCACAGGCTCCTGGTGCCCAGGCGCCTCAGAGCCCTGGAGGGCGAATCTGCCGAAGACCAGTCCGCAGTCCAGGCGGGGGAGCGAGGTGATGGGACTTTGGATGAGCCCGCCGAGACAGTAGACGTGTCTGCCACGAGCGCGGCCGCTGCTGAGGCGGTGACGGATGTAGACGCCGGCGCCTCCCGCGTCACCTCTGACCCCAGTGCCTCCAGCATTGCCTCCTCTGCCGCCTCGCCGAGCGTCGCCTCTGATCCCGGCGCAGTGGCCTCCACCACCTCCTCCCCCACGGCGGCCTCCGCTCCCACCGACACCGCGGGCGCCGACCCCGCCCCGGCACCCAGCCGGCACCCGGCGGTCATGCTCGCGGCGGCGCTGGCGGCGGGCGTGTCGGAGCTGACGCGGCTCACGCTCCTGGTCCCCCTGCGCTGGCTGCTGCTGTCCGCGGTGCGCTGGGTGCTGGCCCGCACCGGCCTGCTGGCCCTGAATGCGCGGCGCGAGTTCCGGCTGCTGGAGGTGGCCAACGCCGCGGGGCGGCTGGACGGGCGCCAGGTGGCAGCGGTCATGGCCCACGTCTCGCGCCAGCAGCCCGAGGTCACCGTGGAGTGGTTTGAGCGCGCCTGCCTCGGCCAAGGGGCCGGCGGCGGCAGCGGTGGCGGCGGCAGCGCCGGCCCCGACCGCCCGGGCCCGGCGCGACCACCCGTGGAGGTCAGCGCCGCGGGCGCGCGGGAGTACCTGGCCGCGCTGGTGGCCATGGGCCGCCTGCGCGACTACGGCGACGTGGAGTCCGCGCGCCAGCCCTCGCTCATCCGCCTCCTGGCACGCCTGCAGGCGGCGCTGGACGCGGGCGAGGGCGGCGCGCGCGCCGAGTCGGCGGGCCCCGCGCCCGAGCCGGGGACGAGCGCCGCGCGGCCCCTGCACGTCACCTTCACCCCCGCCGCCGAGGCCCCGCCCTCGGGCCTGGTCACCTTCCTGCACAGCGCCCTCAGCTTCGGCCTCACCCTCGCCCTCCTGGGCTTCATCTCGGTGCTGGGCCTCCGGGCCACGCAGCGCGCCGCGGGCGTCAACTCCTCGGCCGCCATGGGCGTGGCAGCGGGCGGCGCGCCCGCGGGCATGGCCCCGGGTGAGGGCTCCGCCATGTCCGCCAAGGAGTACAACAAGGTGAGATAGGTGGGGGGGATGCAGGGGTGTTTGGAGGAGCTGGGGGTGGGTACAGGTGGAAGGAGGGGTTCACGAAGAAGGAACCTCCTCCCCACACCATGGTTGAGCGCACCTTGCACCCCTGCCGGTCCTTCTACAACAACTCCCACCCCCATCTCCTCACAGGAGGCGCTGGCGGAGACGTCGGTCAAGTCGTTCGAGGACGTCAAGGGCTGCGACGAGGCGCTGACGGAGCTGCAGGAGATCGTGACCTACCTCAAGACCCCGGAGAAGTTCACGCGCCTGGGCGGGAAGCTGCCCAAGGGCGTGCTGCTGACGGGGCCGCCGGGGACGGGGAAGACCCTGCTGGCGCGGGCTGTGGCGGGGGAGGCCGGCGTCCCCTTCTTCTACAAGTGAGTCTGGTTGAGGGAGTGAGGTATCTGGGAACGGGGGCCACGCGATTGTCTTCAAAGTCCCTCCCCCCTTGCCTGAGGGGAATGCATTCTTGCCACACTACCTCTCCTCGACCTGCCTCCTCCTTGCTCACTCCACAGGGCCGGCTCTGAGTTTGACGAGATGTTTGTGGGGGTGGGGTCACGCCGGGTGCGGAATCTGTTTGCAGCCGCCAAGGCCAAATCGCCCTGCATCGTCTTCATCGACGAAGTGGACGCCGTCGGTGAGTGGCAAGAGAAGGTGGTTGTGAGGGGAACTGACTGTTTATGGTCAATCACATGCTCTTGCACCTGCTTCATTCCCCAGAGCATTCTGCTCCCCCTGCATGCGTCACATTCCTGTATACCTCCTGGCACCCATCCACACCCCTCTCAACGCCCCCCTCACGATTGTCACCCAGGCGGCAAGCGGACCAACTGGGAGGCGTCTGGCGGGTCGCGCAAGACCCTGAACCAGCTGCTCACCGAGATGGACGGGTTCGAGGAGAACTCCGGCGTGGTGGTCATGGCCGCGACCAACCTGCCCGAGACGCTGGACCCCGCGCTCACGCGCCCCGGCCGTTTCGACCGCCAGGTGGCGGTGCCCCTGCCGGATGTGCACGGTCGGCGCGCCATCCTGGACCTCTACTTCAAGGGCAAGCCGCTGGCCGCTGACGTCGACAGCGACAGCCTGGCGCGCCGGACTCCAGGTGGGGTTAGGTTGGGAGGAGGTCTTGGTGTGGATCTTGTGTGGGGGAACCCAGTGTGCAGGACCAGCACTGCTGGGAGCTGCAGGGTGCCGTGCCACTGAAGCTTCCCCTCAGCCGGAGTCACTTCCCCCATTGTTTCACCCCACACACACGCTTCCCGCCCCCGCCAGGCTTCTCCGGCGCGCAGCTGAGCAATTTGGTGAATGAAGCGGCGCTGCTGGCCGCACGCACGGGGCGGGACTGCGTGGATGCGGGCCTGCTGGACGAGGCGCGGGACAAGATCCTGATGGGCTCGCCCCGCGCGCTGAGCCAGACGCTGGAGGCGCGGCGGCTGACCGCCTACCACGAGAGCGGGCACGCGCTGGTGGCCCTCTTTACCCCGGGCGCCCGGCCCATCCACAAGGTGAGGGAGGCGTTGTGGGGGTTTCAGAGCTCCTCTGGTTCTCCTGTCAGCCGCGTTTTCCCCTTTGTTCCCTCCTCCCAGCATGCGGGTCCTCCTGAGTTCCTTGCCCCCCCCCCCCCCCCCCAAACCCAAGGGCCTCTCACCCACTTCCTCGCAACCCCTCGCACCCTCCACCCACCCAGGCCACCATCATCCCGCGCGGCCACGCGCTGGGCATGGTGAGCCAGCTCCCCGACCGCGACGAGTACTCCACCACCAAGCAGCAGCTGCTGGCCCAGATCGACGTGTGCATGGGGGGTAAGGCGGCGGAGGAGCTCATCTTTGGCGAGGAGTTTGTGACCACGGGCGCCACCTCGGACCTGTCGGCCGCCACACGCACCGCGCGGCACATGGTGGAGGACTGCGGCATGAGCGCTCGCATTGGGCCGCTGTCCCTCAGCGACAAGCTGGGCTCCGAGACGCGCAAGGTGGCCGACGCCGAGGTGTCCGACATCCTCAAGGCCTCCTACGAGGTGTGGGAAGTGGGTTTGGGTGCAGGCCGGGAGGGGGAAGGTCCTGTGGGGGGGCCCCATGGGATGGTGCCATGGACCAAGCACGGACTCAAACAGGGAGGGTCTACTACCCAATCGGGAGGGCTGGCGCTGGGCAAGCGACACGTGAGGGTCTTTGCAATCCAGCGTGGGGTAAACCTGGCTCAGCGGAGCCTCTATCGTGCTGCCCCTCTGCGCATGCAAGCCGTCCGGCCAGCACACTCACCGTGCCCCTTCCTGTCTGCGGTGCCACCACCGTCTGCCGTTCTCCATGTCGCCCCACTCTGATGCCCGTCTCGACTCCCCCCTCCGCTCCCTGGCCCCTGCGCAGAGGGTGCGGGGCCTGCTGACCGCCCACCAGGCGGGGCTGCACGCCCTGGCAGCCAGCCTGCTGGAGCAGGAGACGCTGACGCAGAGCCAGATCAAGGAGGTGGTGGGGGGCCGCGCGGCGCAGGCCTGGATCGAGAAGGCGCCGGGACCCGGAGGCCCCCGGCGCATGCCCGCGCCGGCGGCGGCGGCGGCCACCACCGCGCCGCGGCCGGCCCAGCAGACGGCATGACCGGGCGCATGAAGCCCCCCTGCGCCCTATTCTTTCCTCACTGCCATGGATTTGGGGTTGTGGGCACGCTGCGACACAGCGTGCACCATCCTCCTCCCCATCCTCTAGCACGCCTGCTCCCTGCAGCATGTACTCCCACCCTTTAGCCGGCTCGACCCCTCATTTTTCCCACCTAATGCCCACTGCTGTGCCCTTGCTGTGCTCAACCCGACCAAACGCACGTGTTTCTGTTGTTACATGGAAGCATTTCGAGGGGGAGTAGGGCGGTCCTGTGCGCGGCGTCAGCAGTGCAGGGGAATGAAGCAGTTGGAGCGGCCGCCGCCGTGGGGGGCCAGCACGGGCATCCAGCGCCCGTCCTCGGAGCGGAGCAGGAACTCCAGCCCCGCCATGCCGTGCAGGCCGGCGCGCGGCAGCCGGATCACGGCGGCGTTCAGCACGGGGTCCACGAACACGGGGCTGCCGTCCTCGGCATACAGGTTGAATTGGGCCAGCGGCACGTCGGTGCACGCACCCCTGTCGAGGCCTCGGGCTGCAAAGTGGGGGATGGTGTGGGGCGTGAGAGAGGGGCGACTGGGGGAGCCAAGGTCCATTGCCCGGGAGGCTCCAGTGAGGGGAATGCAGCGGGTGGCGTGGTCGAGGAACAGCCATGACATGCGTCCAACCACAGCCGACATGCGCAGGTGACATGCATCTGCAAACTCTCCTCATTCCATCCAAACCCCACCCCCCGCACCTGGCGCGTCGCAGGAACAGCCATGCGGCGCCGGCTGCCAGGTGCCGTGCTGATGGCTCACCAGTCCCCAGTGCACCACCAGGCCCGGCCCCAGCGCGCCGTCTGGGAACGCCTCGGCCACGGCGATGCCGACGACCATCTCGCTCTCGTCGGCGTAGACCTGCGCCAGCACGGCCGCGTCCAGGCCCGCCAGCGGGGCGCTGACCTGGCGCACGTACGCCGGCCGCCCCGGCGCCGAGACCGGGACGTGGCTGGGACCCGCCGCGGGCACGGGAATGACAGCGCGCAGGAGCGGCAGCCCGCGCCAGGGGCCGTCGGCGCCGGCGCCGGCGCCCACCGCCACATGGCCGGCCAGGCCCTCAAGGTCACGCTGAGTCACCTCCGTCAGCCGGCCGCGCAGGCTGGCCACGCCCTTGCGCGCCGCGGCCATGGCGCGCGCTACCTCCTGGTCCAGCGCCAGCGTCTCGTCACCCACGGCCGTCAGCGTCCTGGGATGGTGGGCGGGTGGGTGGTGGGTGGCGACAGCGGGGTCAGCCAGCCGGACTTTGCCGCATACAGACCCGAAACCGCGCATGGAGCGTCGCTCGCCAACCGCGCCGTCCAAACACCATCTCGTCTACTCATTCACCGTCCCTCCCTTGAAGGGAATGCCATACCATACGTGCGCTCGGCCCCCCCCCCCCCGGAACCCAGAATGATGAGTAAAACCTAAACGAACCTCTGCTGGGCCTCGTTCTCGGCCGCGGCCGCGCGCAGCGCCTCCTCCGCCCTTTCCTCCCGCGCGCGCAGGTCGCACAGCGCGACGCAGTCGCGAGCCAGCCCCGGGTCCAGCGCCCTGGCTAGGCCCAGCAGCTGGTCGGCGCGGCGGCGCGCCGCGCCGGGGGCCTCCGGACCGGGATCGCGGGGCCCGGCCCCCGCCCACACCTTGCACCCGAGCACCCAGGCGGGGAGCGGCGGCTCGGCCGCCGGCGGCTCGGCCGCCGGCGGCTCGGCGCCCGGCGCCCAGCGGGTGTCCACCGTGCCGTCAGACTCGCCACCCGCCCCCGGGCGCTGGACCATGCCCTCCGCCCAGTCCCACTCGCCCAGCCCATCCGTCGCTAGCAGGGCGGCGGCGTCGACCCCTCCTGCCCCGCTCGCCGCATCGCCCGCACCCCTGGCCTCCAGGCGCGTCGCAGCGGGCACCAGGTCGACCCAGAAGTCGTGCGCATGTTCTGCCTTGACCCAGTCGTGGCCGCGGCGGAGCACGAACTGCAGGCCTGGGTGCGGCCCTGCCAGTGGCACCTGCACCAGGCAGGAGTGCAGTGAGGCCAGCGCACACACCTCCCCGCCCTGCAGGACTGGGTGGTGGCGCAGCAGCGGCGTCTCCCACGCGTTGCTCCCCGGGGCGGGCTGCGAGCGCGGCGGGTGGGTGCACCAGCCCTCCGGCGGCGGCTGCCACCCCGCCGCCGCCCAGTGCAGGCGCACGTCCCAGTCGGCGTCGCTGGGCGGCAGCAGGAGCTCGCCAGACAGGACCAGGGCGGTGACGGCACGCCGCTCGCCGCCGGCCAGCTCCAGGCACGCGGACTGGGCCAGGAGCTGGGCCCCGACGGGCAACGAGGCGTCGTGCGGCAGGCGCTGCGCGGGAAGCACCGCCCAGCGCACGCAGGCGGGGCCCAGCTCGGCGCGCAGACCCTCCAGCAGGCAGGCGGCGTGCTGCAGGGCCAGCGCATGGGTGGCCGCGGGCAGGCTGCCCAGCGCGCGCGCCAGGCGGGCGTCCACGGCCGCGCCCAGCTCCGCGGCCTGGGCCTGTAGGCGCTCCACCTCCCGGTTACAGGCCGTCAGCCGGCTGGCAGCGGCGTTGGCAGGGGCCTGGGCGGCGGACAGCTGGCGCTGCGCCCGCTCCAGGGCGGGGAGCAGCTCCCGGGCGCGGTGGTAGGCAATCTCCGTCCCGGTGCGGAGTTCCTGGTACCCAGCGGGGCGGGGCGGCAATCTGGCATGCCGAACCGCACGGCTTGGGACCCAGGAGCAGGGAGGGGGGTGGCAGGGCCGGGCGACGGCGCACCAGCCCCGCATGGCTCGACCGTGGACCCTCTGACCGCAGGAGAGTGCGGCAGAGTCTAGGGGCCAGAGGCCGGGTCGGGAGCTCTTCGAAGGCTCTCACCGGATGGGTTGAATGTCTATTCTTTCGTATCTTCAAATTTGTCGCGGGCAGTAACCTGGAGGCTCCCGGTCTCGCGACGACCAGTGAGAGGTTTGGCCTGGAAAGCTCGAAACACAAAAGTATCTCTTTCAAAGATCTCATACCAACCAACCGTATCTTTTTGGAGGAGGATGGCGTCTCAGCCATCCCAAACAGGTCTCGAGCTAAAAACCAAGCTCAAGTGCTGCTCGAGAGCCAGATATTATTGTTAGGTTGTGAATGGGAGCCAATGGGGGATTCTGTTTTCGAGGGTCTCACACGGTTCCCGTCTCTTGTGTGGAATGCCTTGCCGAGGTCAGCCTTCAGAGAAAATTATGAAAATGCTGGATCATTGACCGATACATGCTCTGACAAGGTAAACCATGTATCAGCTGGTATGGCGCCCCTCTGCAGCCTGAGCTTCAGATTGTGCATGGGGAGGGCGCGCACATTCCAGGCGGTCAGCATTATCTATCCGATTTCTTGCATGGAGACAGCGCGCTGCAGGGGAGCCTTCTGTCTCCGCGGCATGGCACAGAGCTGCAGCGCATTGTTCCAAATAATGATATAGGTAATCAAGTACCAACCGGGGACAGCCGATCAATCATCTCCGAGATCCCCTTTGAGCGCTCCAACCCTGGGGTGGGGGGCGACAGGGGATCACCATGCATGCCTCCATGCGAGTTAGCTTCGGCACCCGGATCGAGGGTTTCAACCGTATTCCGTTTCCATCTCGCGTAAACCCGATGCGTGTGAGCCGGGAGACGGCCCCGGTGCGCCCATGCCGGCCCCGGGGTCTCGTCACCAAAGCGGTGGCGGAGGTCGCAGGTGTGCAGAGCGTCAGGGGTTGCGGGGAGGTTCTGGGTCCAGGATTCTTGGCGAGCTGAGTTTAACAACGTCATTGCAAAGTCGATAGGGTGTGATAAATGCCGCCATGATGCAATCCTCTGTGCTGTCAGCCACACTCCTCCACGCAGCACTGACGCACCCCCTGTTCCAGACCCTCCCGCCGGCGAGGCCTCCCCAGAGCCGGAGGCGTACGGCGCACTGGGGCCGCGCTCCTACCCACTGGCGGCGGTGGTGGGCATGGACCACATCAAGCAGGCCCTGCTCCTGGGAGCGGCGGACGTGGGCCTGGGCGGCATCGCCATCGCCGGGCGGCGCGGCACCGCCAAGTCGGTGATGGCCAGGGGGGTCCACGCCTTGCTGCCCCCCATCGAGGTGGTGGAGGGCTCCATCTGCAATGCCGACCCCAGTGACCGCGGGGGGTGGGAGGTGAGTCTTGTGGTAGCCGGGGGGGTGCCGAGCTGCTTTTGTGCGTCGGTGGAAGGTTGGCGGGCCGTCACCCCTGCCCGCGGCCCCCTCCGATACCTGTTGCTCTTTCAGTCACATGTTGGCACTGAGCCCTCGGAACCTTGCACGATGAGCTGGCCGGCTCTGGCATCTCTCTACAACAGTTCTGTGACAAACGCGTCGCCACCCCCCCGGCAATGCTCACCAGGATGGGTTGGAGGCCAGGCTGGGTCCCGGCCCACCCCCCACCAAGATCAGGCCGGCGCCCTTTGTCCAAATCCCGCTGGGCGTCACGGAGGACAGGCTCGTGGGCACTGTCGACATCGAGGCTTCCATGAAGGCAAGGGCCTCATAGACGTGGGACTCAAGGCGGGGCACGCGCATCCCCATGGATGAGGACTGGCAATGCTCAGCAAGTCTGCTGGGACGTTCTACTGAGGGTGCACAAGAGCCGACATGTTTTCCTGCCAACAGCACAGCCATTCGGTTTTTCTATCGCGTGTCTCTACCTCGGTGTTCTTCCCCATCCACCGTGGACCTCCGTCCCCACTCCCACCTCCCACAGCTGGGCAAGCCGGTGTTCCAGCCTGGGCTGCTCGCTGAGGCCCACCGCGGGATCCTGTACGTGGATGAGATCAACCTGCTGGATGACGGAGTGGCAAACCTGCTGCTCACCATCCTGTCTGACGGGATGAATGTGGTGGAACGTGAGGGCATCTCCGTGTCTCACCCGTGAGTGGTCGGCGGGAAATCTGAGTGTTGGAGGCTATGGGACTGGCACCGGTGGAGGATGAACCACCCCTGGATGTCCAGTGTCCTGTGGATTATGGGACGACTGTGCTCCTGCCGATCAGCACACCCACTTCACATCGTTGAGCCCTTTGCGCTTGGATGTGGCTGCCTTGTCTCACTGCTGATTACGTGATCAATTACCCTACAGGTGCAAGCCGCTGCTGATTGCCACCTACAACCCTGAGGAGGGGACCCTGCGTGAGCACCTGCTGGATCGCATCGCCATCACCCTCTCTGCAGGCGAGCTGGATGGGGTGACGGCGGGATGGGTTAAAAGTTCCCCACTTGCCATACCGCAGTCTACCGCAACTTTCACCAAGTCCGCCTGAGGCATGTCACATCTTTATGAGCTGCGTCAGCGTGGGAAGCTTTGCAGATTGCTGCTGTGCAACCCTACACCCCTCAGCATGCTTCATTCCTCAACCCCCCCCGATTCCTCACTCTGCAGATGTGCCGTTTTCTCTGGAGGACAGGGTCAAAGCGGTGGACGCCGCCTCGAGGTTCCAAGACGCCTCGGCCCCCACTCTGGCAGAGGCCGCGGAGCTCACAGAATCGCTGCGCACCAACGTGCGTGTGTTGGGGAAGTGTTGGAAGACTGGTTTGCCTGCGGACCTGCTGGTGGAGGGCGTGGCTGCGCAGGGTGAGCCTTTGGTCAATTGGTGCGCCGACATTGACATCCATCTTGTTTTAGAGAACCGTCCACAGCACCACGCCCCTCTGCACATGCCCTCCTCAGCAGCCAACCTCTCATGCACCGCCCAGAACACCCCCATCTGTTACAGATTACTTTTGCAAGGGAGTACCTGCCGGACGTCCAGATCCAGGAGAAGCAGATCGAGTACCTGGTGGAGGAGGCGCGGCGCGGCGCGGTCATGGGCCACCGCGCGGAGCTCTTCGCGGTGCGGGTGGCCCGAGTGAGCGCGGCGCTGGAGGGCCGGGATCGTGTGGACGCCGATGACCTGCAGAAGGCCGTGCAGCTGGTCATCCTGCCGCGCGCCCTGATCAAGGACCGGCCGCCGGAGGTGCGGGGTTTGAGGGGGACTTTTGCCTGTTCTGGGAAGGAGGGGAGTAATATGAGATCATGCACGAGCCAAAGGTACTGTTGCTAGACACCCATCAACATCAACCCCCCTCCCCCTTTCTTCCTATCCCCATTCGACGCAGGACGAGCAGCCCCCCCCGCCGCCGCCGCCGCCGCCCCCCCCGCAAGACCAGAAGGAGGAGGAGGAGGAGCAGCAGGAGGAGCAGGAGGAGCAGGAGGAGCGGGTGAGCGGGCTTGGATTGGTGTTCACCGCGGGGTTGGCTTGGCACTGCATGTGGCCTGGACCTCGTCAAGGTTCCATAACAAAAGGCCCTCAGCTCGCATCCCCCAACCCCCCCTCGCTCACCCCACACCCCCCCAAAAGGAGGAGGAGGAGCAGGAGCAGGAGGACGAGCTGCCCCAGGAGTTCATGTTTGAGGCGGAGGGCGTGATCCTGGACCCGGCCCTCCTGGCGCTGGCCCAGGCGCAGCAGCGCGCGCAGGGCCGGTCCGGGCGCGCCAAGACCCTCATCTTCAGCGAGGACCGGGGGCGGTACATCAAGCCCATGCTGCCCAAGGGCGACAAGGTGCGGCGCCTGGCGGTGGACGCCACGCTGCGATCCGCGGCGCCCTACCAGCTGTCGCGCCGCGCGCGGGCCAAGGCCGCCGCCGCGCCGGGGGCCGCCATCAGGCCCGTGTTCGTGGAGCGCACCGACATGCGGGCCAAGCGCATGGCGCGCAAGGCCGGCGCGCTGCTGGTCTTTGTGGTCGATGCAAGCGGATCCATGGCTCTCAACCGTATGGCCGCCGCCAAGGTGCGTGTGGGTGTGGGTGATTTGGGAGGTGGGAGACGACCCTGGGAGGTGGTGTAAGGTTTACTCCTGATGACTGAGATCAGTGCTGCACAATCCCTGCCTAAAAGCCAAGAAGCCATGCTGCTTCTTCCTGGGCACCGAGCGAGCAGCCCCCTCTCAACAACAATCATCCAATCGCTACTTCCGCCCTCACCAGCTCACTCATCCCAAATCACACCCCCTATGCAGGGCGCGGTGATGCGGCTGCTGTCGGAGTCGTATGCGTCGCGTGACCAAGTGTGCCTCATCCCCTTCTATGGTGACCAGGCCCAGGTCCTGCTCCCGCCGTCCAAGTCCATCGCCATGGCCAAGAGGCGGCTGGACTCGCTGCCATGCGGCGGCGGCTCGCCTCTGGCGCACGGTGCGGCGCTGGGTGGTGATGTGTGATCTGTGCAGAGGGAAATGGGTGATGCAGGGCTCTGTTTTCTGCTTGGCAGCTGGAACATACTGATATCTTGGGAGTTGCTGGGTGGAATGTATCTCCAGCCACTCAAACACTTGGAGTTTATCCTTCCCAACCCCCAAGCCCCAACCCCCTCCTCCTTGCAGGCATGTCCCTGGCCGTGCGGACCGCCCTGCAGGCCCGGCAGCGGGGGGAGGTGGGCAGGGTGATGCTGGTGCTCATCACCGACGGTCGGGCCAACATCGGGCTGGCGCGGTCCAACGAGGAGCCGGACGCCATGGGACCGGATGCTGTCAAGCCTACCACGGTGGGGAGTGGGCTGACTTGGGAGGCGCGCTACCTTGGGGCGCATATTGTTGGGCTCAGGGTCAGGCAGCTGACATTCATCTGTTGAGGAGCGTGGGGCCGTGCACGACCGGCAGTGTATGAAGGACGTGCGCTCCCAGCGCGTGCTTCCTGTGAAGCTTTGCTTTCACACCCAGACTCTGCACATGTTGTCTGCTGGTGCCAGTGAGCTTCGTGCACCATGGCCCAACTCACCCCTTTCCTCATCCCCATAACCCCCTTGTCGCCCCCCAGGAGCAACTGAAGGAGGAGGTGCTGCTGATGGCGCGGCGTGTGCTGGTCAGCAACCTGCAGATGCTGCTGATCGACACCGAGAACAAGTTCGTGTCCACCGGGTTTGCTGAGGAGATTGCCAAGGCGGCGGGGGCCAAGTACTACTACCTGCCCAATGCCTCCGACAAGTCCATTGCGGCGGCCACCACGTCGGCGATGAACGAGGCCAAGATCTCGCCCTGAGCGGGCATTGCTGTCTCAGGGCAGTGAGGTTGGGCAGGCCTGTGGAGCAGGAGGAGAAGGCCCACGGCAGGACATGACCCTCTGCCTGGACACCAATCTGTTGGCCCTCCTCCTCAACTCCCCCTGCATGTGCACCCCAGGCAAACACGTTCCTGCATTGTCGAGGTCCCTGTGCAGCCTTCTTAGCATTAGCCCCAGAGCAAGGGAGTGACAGTCAAGACTCAGGATCAGATAACAAAGACAGCAGTATGCCCCTGGCTCTCTAAATCATCGCAGCGGCCCGGGCAGGCCAGCAAGCAACGCACTCTGCATGCCAGTGGGGATTGCCTTGGTCACACCACCCAGGCCAGCAGGGGCGGTGGCCACCTGCCCCCGGCCCAACCTGCACAGGGCCTGCACGCGCCGGCCGCAGACGCCGCACTCGCACAGGGCGTCCGCCTGCGTCCGGGCGCGCAGGCAGTAGTAGCAGTGCACATGGCCGCAGGGCAGCGCGGCGGCGGGCGTGAGCAGGGGGAAGGCCGCGCCGCAGGTCCCGCAGGCGGTCTGCCGCCCCGATGCGCCGCCCCGCGCCGCGGGCTGCGGGAGCAGGCGCCGCAGCGAGCGCTTGACGCTGGCCAGGTTGAACAGGGGGAGCACGAAGAGCAGGAGCTCGGACAGCTCCCCCCACACCAGCTGCCGGTTCAAGTACTCGTAGGAGATGGCGCGGGGGGCATGGGTCTGCACATACACCGGCCGGGCACCGATCAGCCTCTCCAGCAACGTCCTGAGTTGTGAAGGGGGGGGTTCAGTGGAAGACATTGAGTTGAAGGATAGGGTGATTTCTTTGTAGGCGGCTCAAGGATGATCAAGCAGAAGAAGAAGATGCTCATACTCTGCAACAGAGCACAAACACATCAAGGTTCAATCGAGCACATCCAGAGATGCAGGAGCGACAAGTGTACAGATACAAGCCTTTGATCCTCTGTGCCCAGGCCCAGCAAGTCCCTCAACCCAACCACAATGACGTACCACAAACCCTGTACCTGTATTTGCCCGCCCTCAGGAACGCAATGGCGTTGACGAGGGCTGCGAGGCGGTATGCGGTCTCGGCGCGGCGCATCACCTGCCAGGCTGTCGCCCGCCAGCCGCCGTCCCCGTCCGAGCCGCCCGACGCCGCGGCGTGACCGGCGCGGGCCCAGGCGTACCGCAGGAGTACCGCTCCCAGGCCATACATCGCCTTCTGGGACCTGGCCAGGCCGGGTCCCCCGACTCCAGAGGCGGAGTGGGGCACGGCGCGCTCGTCCCGGAAGCGTAGGTTCATGAGGGCCATGCCGGGGAGGGGGGCGTCCTTCCAGACAGACAGGTAGAAGATCAGGGCATCCAACGCCAGCTGGATCTCGGGCAGGTGTGCGGTCACTGTGCCCTGGGGAAAAGAGATGAGTACAGGAATTGTCGCAAGGGGAAGGGTGGCCTCTGGCATGAACGGGAAGACACGGCAGAGAGTGCGACTGTCTGCAAACAATTGCCAAGGATTCCTGTCCGCCAGGGTCCCCTTGGATCCTATTTGTCAGCACGCATCGCTGCATACCCGTGGAAAGAGGGAGAAGGCTCCCAGGAACTGCTCACGCAGCATCAGGCTCAATTCCTCGTCCAGACGGGAGGCGTCCACCTGGCTGGACCGCATGACGTCCGCCGAGCCTGGCGCAGCCAGGAGCCTGACCATGGGAGTGTGGAAGCCAAATCAAGGCTCATTATGGCGTGGAACAGCGGCAGATGGGCTCCTCAAGCATGTTGTTCTTCATGTCATTAGGGACGAGACAAGGGGGTCCGATGCATCCACGCCGCACCTGGTGAGGTCATTACGTTTTGCTAAGAGATCATTATACCTCTTTGAAACGCTCTCATCGGTGAGATTGAGGTCAGGAATCACAAGAGTCGAGGTGTCGGGAGGGCCAACTGTGGAGGGGCCAGCAACACCCTCTCCCGCACCCTGTGCCATGACCTTGAAACTCCGTCACACCATCAAGCTGAATATGCTACCTCGGAAACTTCAAAAATTATGTATCTATCGTGTCGAATCACGGGACTCTTCGCAAATGTTTCGAAGCCCGTTTTGCAAAACTCTCATGACTCAGACAACGACACAGGGAGCGCGCGCCAAAGGGCCGGGTCTGGATTGTTGTGATTACAACATTCATTCTACATTTTCAGTATGTGTTACTTGGACATTCTTCAACTCAGATGTATGGTCAGTCCTGTCAGCTCCTTGACCTCTGTCTCCAAGCGCTCCAGTAGATCATGGCCATCACGCCTGTACACCCAGCGACCATCTATATAGTCATAGCGCACAGGTCCGCTGTGCAGATAAGGGGGCAATGAGAATCTGTGTTAGCGTACGATTCGATTGTCCAGTGCACAACTCCAGAGGCCTCACTTCTCAACATCCAATAGCACAGCTGTGTGCCAATCTTCCCATACATTGCTACAGGGCCCCGCAGATTATACAATGCATTGGAGCCAGTGCCCCAGCACCCCACTTGCATATCTCAGTCACCTTACTGGGGAGGACGACCATATCTGGTGGTTTGGCGCCTGCTTATTGATTACGTAAGTACCCTTGGTCCCAAGTCTGAGCGTGAGGACACCTTGCTGCGGCGACATGAGAATGTTGGCAGGAGTTGCTGAGGCAGAATTGCGTCACGGTATCCTGATGAATAGCACGACATGCATTTCCCCCAAAGCATAGGAAGTGACCAGACCCAATCCATGAATTTATATCAGCAATAACACTTGCACCACACTCCACAGCTTGCCAAATACAGTCCAGCAACACTCACGCTATACTCGACATCGCCATCAAGATCATTGTCCTCCACGAATGCCTTCACAGGTACCCAGCGACAAGAAGTCAGAATTTGGTCCAAGGTGCAGTCGAAATGCACAAACAGATGCTCAAACACCCTCAAGCCTCACGTCTAGCTTGTCTTGCAGTTCCTCCAGAGTTGATTCACAGACGACATGGAAGTCCTTTTCCGTCAGCTCAGTCACCGCCCTTTGAGTGGTCAGGGTGGTGAAAGCATGATGGTTTATGCCAGGAATATCCAATACGGATCATACTCACCAATCCCCTACAATCCAGAATAGCTCCAACCCACTCTGGACCAATGGATGCATGGAGGCCGGCCCCCGTCCCAGCTATGCATCGGGGACGGCCAGGTGAGTCCGCTGGCCACACAGATTTGAGATCCAGTACTTGCAGGCTCAGCAGTTGTGGGCAGGCCCCCGCTGGGCCATGCCCGACATTGAGATCCCGGAACTGGCCCAGCACCCTCGACACACTCCGCCACCTCGAACGCCAGCGCTGCATGGCGAGGGACTGTGGTCACTATTCGTGCCAGAATCAGTGTGCTTAGCTTTCTTGTGAATCTTTGTGATGGTATCGCTGATTTGTAGGGTGAACCAATGCTCGATCAAGAGGTACCTTGGTCCAGCTCCACCGTCACGCCTGTCTTGTGTGCGGTGCATCGCGCCTCGCCCATGCAGTGATCCTTCCCACCCAGCAGGCTCCCTCATGGAGATCCTTCCCACCCTGCAGGCTCCCTAAAGAAGAGCCAGCCCCCCGCTTCAACCATGGGACGCATGTCACATCAACGAAAGGAGTCGGGGGAAGTGGGTTCACAGTACTGTCGGGGTGCGCTGCGGGGTCATGCGGTCAGCAAGGTCCGGGAGGTTGTGGTCGGAGGGTCTGCGGGCGATAGGTCTGGGGCAGGCAATGAAGTCTCTACCTCTCACAGTATCCACACGCCTCAGCTCCAGGGCAGGAAGTAGTTGGAGAGGAGGGGCGGGCGGCAGCGCTGCCCCGGGCGCAGCGCCAGCTTAAGCACGGGCGTGGGTAGGGGCGGCGCAGCGCCGCCGTGCAGCGCCCGCGCCAGCAGCGCCACACCATCGGCCAGGCGCGGCCCCGGGCGCGAGAAGAGCGGGGCAGGGGCCAGGTACACCTCCCCCGCGCGCGCGGCGGGGAGCTGCCACCAGGCGCCGCTGCCTGCGGCCTCGGCCAGGCCGGCCAGCGCGGCCTGCAGCCCGCCCGCCCCCGGCCCATGCAGCACGACGAGGATTCCCGGTGCGCCAGCCGCCAGCTCGGCCGCCGACAGCGCGCGCGCGCCGTCTGCGTGCTGCGCGGCGCTGGCCCCGCCCACCAGCGCGGCCATCTCCGGGATCCAGGGCCCCGCTGCGGGCAGTGCTGGGCTTGCCGAGCGCAGGATTAGTATTCGCGGGGGGTGGGGAGTGGCGTTGCCAGCGCCAGCGCCGCCCAAGGTACCACCACCTAGCGCTCGCAGAGGCGCGCGCAGGCTCGCCGCGGAGCGCAGGCGCGCCCGCAGGCGGTCGACGACGCGCGCGGCCTCCTCGGCCACGCCCGCCGCGGCGCCCACCTCCAGCATGGCCTCCAGCACGTCGGCCAGGCAGCGCCGGCGCAGGCACACCACGGCCGTGCCGGCCTGCAGGCCCACCGCCACCAGCGCGTCGCACAGCGCCTCGGCCGCGTCGCCCTCGTCCTCCACCACCACCAGCCCGGGGCGCTCCCGCGCCAGCATGCGCTCGTCCACGTACAGCGACAGGCGCGCTGCGAGGGTTGGGGCCGGGGCGGCATCGCTCCCCGGCACGGCGCGGCCGGGGGTCGAGCTGGATCGCGGCACCGCGCCGCCGCCCCTCCTCGTCCCGCCATGGGGCCCGCCGACGCCCAGGCGCGCGGCCACCGCGGCGCCGAGCGTCCGCCAC